TAGTAAGTTCTTGCAATTCATTTTGTCATTAATTTGTTATTTTCAATGATTTGTAATTGTTTCTTGGTTTGGTTTGTTTCTTTTATTTGTGTTTTATTGTAAGTTCTAGTTCATGTTCTATTTTTTTGTAAAATTAGTTTAAGCTGATGGCCGTGTTGCCAATGCTTTCAATAAATTAAAAAAAAAAAAAAAAAAAAAAGTTTGCCTTCGCTTTTGTTCTTGAATAGTGGGGGATGTCAATGATTGACAAGAAATAATGATCGATGACTTGAAAATCGATTTTCATAAAATTGAAACGGCTTAATAAATCCTTTATCCGATTATTTTCTGCAGGCTCAGTCAATACACACTACACACTCATTGTATATTAAAAGAAATAAAACCTTGGGAGTTTTTAAAAAGAACTGAATGCTATTAATATATAATTATAAAAAATATTTTTAACAATTTCGCCAAAAAAGTGTTCGTCTAAAATAAAACGATTTTCTAATAGTCCCTAGGGATATTTTCTTAAAATTTAAATGGCATAAATTAACACAAAGTAAAATTGATTAACGATTAGCAATCAATTGTGAAGTGATCCTAAAATTACATGTGTTAAACTCATTTACAGAATCATAGTTCGAATGGAAAAGTGTCAATTATCGATTAATCGAATCAAGAGCGGAAGCTGTCACGGCGGAAATACTAGTACATACTACAAAATAAACAAATACAAATGCTCTTTGTTACGTCTGATAAAAGTTTGTTTCAAATTAGTAATAAGAATAGGTAATTACAAATTTTGATATCAACTGATTGATTTATAATTAGAATTTAATCTAGAAGTTTCCACATGGTATTTTACTTAACATAGTCTATTCTACATTAATAGACGTATTGTATTAAAAACTAAAATGAGTCGATGTGATTTTAAAATAGTGCTTTTAGGCAGCGAACACGTCGGAAAGACGAGCTTAGTTTTAAGATTCGTGAATTGTAGGTTCAACGCTGAGATACCATATCAGAATGTGAGTATAAACAAAAATAAAGTACAATAGATAGAATACAAAGAATCAGAGGTCTATAAAGATTCAAATAGCGTAAAAGTTTGTGCCGAAAATTGCCTATATTGCGTACATTTGCTTAAATTTGTGCAAGCGATAATGATCTGTATTGATAGTATGAAGAAAATGTTACGAAAAACAGCATGCCAGATATTAATAATAATATATTACACTTGATTATTTTATTTGATATAATTTTTTATTTATATTATTTTTTGACTAAGAATTAGTGTATAAAAGACATTTAACTAGTGTTATTTCTTGTTTTAGTTAATGTTTTCTGAACATAATTTTCTCGCAAATTGTAAAGCAGATTCGATTCTATTCCTCTCATTTCACATGCTCAGGAAAATTTCAAACATTCAGACTGCTTTTAGAAACACAATAAACGAATCTCTTACAAGTGACCATTTCTATTCGTTTCTTTCATATTTATTAATGATGATTCTGTGCGAGTTCTCCCGAGGGGAACTTTTTGATAGTGAGTCAGTGTGTATTTCTGTAATTAATTTCATATAATTTAGCAATGTCTTTTGTCAATTTACAGACCGTCGGTGCTGCATTTTGCGCTAAAGCTATGCGATCAAAAGAAAAAGACTACAGTATTGGCATCTGGGATACAGCAGGCAGCGAAAGGTATATTAATAATTATGTACATTGTATATAGACATACAAATGATTGATTTTGCTTACCACAGCTTTGGGTCTGATTATGAGACTTTTTTAAATGTCAATAAGAATTAATTATAAACAACGTACCAGTTCCTCCAACAAGTCACCTCTTTGACCGACCGTCTCATTTGACATCTTGAGTAATAGTAAGTGTGAAGCGCATTTTAGATACCAGGCACCGGTTTGGCTCTACCCTGGCATTGCTGACGTCCATGGGCGACAGTAATCGCTCACCATTAGGTGAGCCGTATGCTCGTCAGCCGACAAGGGCAATAAACAATACATGCATGAGACTACATGAGTAAAAACATTACAAAGTTAACTTGACAACAACAACTATTCCATACTGAGTGACTCAATAAGTTCTAAGAAATAGAGTAATACCTGAATTATAAATAGAGAGTGGTGTCAAGATTTTAATCATAATTATATTTATTAATTTATTACGTTTCTATTTATTAAATATAAAATGAATTAAATAAGCTATTTCATTGGAAAGTTTCATTAATATGTACATGATCCAGTAGTATTCACTCTTCTTCTCAGTCGGACACTCTTGTCAGAGTGGTCGTGGTTGCGTTGACGCTGTATATGCAGTAGGACCTGTTAGGTCGCCCATGCTCCCGACCACCGTCCTCCAGGCAATGCGCTTCCAGGTCTGGCGGTTCGAAGCGTTACGAGTACATTCGACCATAGTGGACTCAGTTGCCTTCTTTATTAGGTCAGTCCAGCGGGTCGGTGAGCGGCCGCGTGATCTTCTGCCTTCCACCTGGCCCTGGACTACCAGTCTCTCCATCGAGTGCTCTTTTCTGGAGATGTGACCAAAGANTTCCAGGTCTGGCGGTTCGAAGCGTTACGAGTACATTCGACCATAGTGGACTCAGTTGCCTTCTTTATTAGGTCAGTCCAGCGGGTCGGTGAGCGGCCGCGTGATCTTCTGCCTTCCACCTGGCCCTGGACTACCAGTCTCTCCATCGAGTGCTCTTTTCTGGAGATGTGACCAAAGAATTTTAAAACCCTCAGTTGCACTGTTGACGATTGTTGCACTGTAGTATTCACATGAATGTCTAAATTAACACCAATCCATTATTACAAACTTTGCTATTATAATTGTGGTACAAGTGGAAAAACTGGGGTATTTAAAATTCTAGTGTATTTCAATAGTACCCACAGCACAAAATTAAATCACTGAACTAACATATTAATAAGCATGTGTGCTGAAACTAGTTAATGGAATAATCTATATATATAAAAATGAATTGCTGTTCATTAGTCTCGCTAAAACTCGAGAACGGCTGGACCGATTTGGGTAATTTTGGTCTTGAATTATTCGTGGAATTCCAGGGAAGGCTTAAAAGGTGAGAAAATATAAAAAAAAGCTTGGAATTATATAAAAACAAACAATTTTGTTTTTCCTTTCTTCTTCTTTTAGATAATTTGGCTCCAACGCCTTTGGCATTGATTTTGCCAATGTCAAAGTATTTACAAAAATGACAGGTGCTTAGAGAGGGAAAAAATTACTAAATCTAAATACAAGTAAATTTGGTCGGTTTTTCCATACGCGAATCTGTGGTTTTAAGAACAGCACAAACAAATATATGTTAGACTAACTACTTTAGAGATAAATATTATTAGCAGATAAAAATTTACACAGAATATTTACATGTTTAGAATAGACTAAAGTTAATAAACAATTAATATTAATAGGTCGGGGAATGTCATTGGGAAGGATATCATAAAGAGGGGATACGATATTGGGGCAGTCGAAGAAAATGTGATCCAGGGTACCCTCATCTAATCCACACTCACAAAGAGAATGGTCACGGACTCTAATTTTGGCAAGAAAAACAGGGGAGCAAACATGGCCAAGTCTAAGACGGATTATAGCTGAGACAATTTTTTTAGGAAGATGGCAGTGGGAGGAAAACCAAGGCTTAGAGGGCAGGGTCGGTTGCAAGTTACCATAATGCTTACCTACTGACTGACGAGAAATCTGCCAGCTTTCATTCCAAGATTGAAGCATATCAGATTTTGCCAGAGAATGTAAATCTCGAGGAAAAATTTTGTTATACTTGTTACAGCCCATAACAACAGCCTCCTTGGCACAGGAGTCAGCAAGCTCATTCCCACAAATTCCGCTATGACTTGGGATCCAGACGAGAGTGACATCAAGTCCGGAGCAGTGACATTGAAACAGAGTTTCTTTAATTTTTAATATAATTTCAAAATTGACTTTTGAATGCGATGGAAATTTAGTTATGTCTTGAAGACAACTTAAGGAGTCCGAAAAAATTACCGATTTACTTAGACCGCGGGTTTTAATAAAAAGAGCTGCTTCTAAAAGAGCAACAGCTTCACCAGAGTACACAGAGGAAGTCTGAGGGAGTTTGTATTTTAGGGAGATTTTAAACTTGGGGATCCATACCGCAGCACCTACAGGACCATTTTGGGATAGTTTAGATGCATCAGTGAATAGGTGATAATGATTAGGCCATTGTAGTTGTACTATGTTCTGAAATTGTAAATTTGCTCCTGGGGAGTCTTTATGGATCCCAATATTCAAGAAGGTAGTGGGACGAAATAAAAGACAGTCAAAAGAGAAAAGAAAGAGGGGGAATTTATCATATTGAGAAATTGGAGAAGCTAAATTTTGCAGTTTCTTATACGAGTTGACAAGAGGAGGTACAGATTTATGACGCCAGTATCTAGAGGTTTCGGTCAGTTGAGCAAGTTGGGAAAGTAGAGCTAAAAGGGGGTGGTTTGAGAGAGAAATTACTTTGTAGAAAAATCTATCAGCTAGAAACTGTCTACGCAAGGCTAAAGGAGGTTCAAAACATTCAACTTGTAGGGCATTTATAGGGGAAGATTTCATGGCGCCAGAGATGATTCTGAGGCATTTTGATTGAATACGATTTAGTTTTGTAAGTGCCATTTTATTACAAGGCTCCAAAACAAAGCAACCATAGTCAAAGTGACTTCTAATTAAAGCATTATAAAGAAGCTTCTGGCTGTAAGGATGTGAACCCCACTTAACACCGGAGAGTGCGCGTAGAACATTGATGCTCTTCTCAACTTTATTGCAGATATAGTTTAAATGGTGAACACCGGAGAGTTTAGAATCCAAGAGAATGCCCAAAAACTTAACTTTACTCAAGACTGGAATAGATTGGTTACAAATTTCAATATTTATTTCAGGGATAACTCTCTTACGGGAGAAAGCAACCGCAGAACATTTAGGGATGGACAGGGATAAGCAGTGATCATTCAACCAAGAATTCAGGTTAAACAAAGCAGAATTTAGACAATTACAAGCTTGTGAGAAAGAATTAGATATGGTATAGAGGGCAATATCGTCAGCATATTGGAGGATACGGCAAAAACGGTTCACAGTAGTATCTAAAATAGCAGTGTAAATATTATAAAGCAGAGGACTGAGAACAGAACCCTGAGGCAGACCTTTCCAGGTCCGATGAGAAGAATTTTCACCTAAGATGCGAACTATAATAGATCTGTCATAAAACAAATTGAAGATAAAATTCACAATTCTAGGAGGCATATTCAGGTTAATAAGTTTTTGTCTAAGTAAATGAAGGTCGACATTGTCGTATGCAGAGGAAATATCTAGAAAAACTGCTATAACATGACGATTTTGAGAGAATGCAACACGAATATCTGAAGTGAGGAGGCTCAGGCTGTCCAATGTTCCGTAACCTCGTCTAAAGCCAAACTGACTATTAGGGAGAATAGACCTGTTTTCAACTATCCATTCTAGACGATTTTTTATCAAATGTTCCATAATTTTAGCTAGCACACTCGAGAGAGCAATAGGTCTATATGAACAAGATTGAGCTGGATCCTTGCCTGGTTTTAGAATTGGGATTATCAATTGAGTTTTCCATGAGGCTGGAATAGAACTGGAGAGAAATATATGATTTAAAAGATTTAGAAAGATTTTTTTAGAAGAGTCAGATAATTTTTTTATAAAAGAGTACGGGAAGCCATCTATACCTGGGGCTGAATCTCGGAGGTTGTCAAGAACACAGCATAGTTCTGCAAATGAGAAGCTGGAATTCATGGGGTCATTAGAGGCGGAGGAGGGAATTAAGGGACAAGGTTTAAAAGGCACAAAGGGTGGGCAGAGTTTGGAGATAAAATCAGGAAGCCAAGACAAGGAATTAGAATTAATATTATTATCAGATTGTGATTTACGAAATGCTTTTATTTTTTTCCAAATCAAGGAGGCAGGAGTTCTTGGGGAGAGAGACTCGCAAAAATTACGCCAAGCAAGAGATTTCTTTTGTCGCAAAAATCTTTTAGAGATGGCCGAAATTTTCTGAAATTCTAGGAAATTCTCTAAAGAGAGAATTTTAGAAAATTCAGACTCAGCCTCCTTGCGTTTTTGGACTATTTGGGAGCATTCAGCATCCCACCATGCTGGTGAGGGAATTTTATTTGAAGCTGAATTCTTTAAGGGAATGGTTAGTTCGGCAGCGGAGGATAAAATGGAACAAAATTCTAGGTACAAAAATAGAGTATTTTCATCATTTGCATCAGGAAGAGATTCAAGATTATTTTGAACTAAAGATGAATACTTTTGCCAGTCGGCCTTGTTAAGTCTGAATTGTTTTTCCTTTGATGTGTCCCCTTTATGTGTCTTTTATTTATCGATTGAGGCACTACGAAGTCTGCCGGGTCAGCTAGTTATAAATAGATATAGAATGGTGTCTATAAATATAAATAAATAATATAAATATTAGTAGGACTGAAGAATTGTGTTCAAAAACACAATTAATTAAATTAAATTAAGCACTACATAAATGTCTCCTTCCAAGGATAAAAGCTTTATTAAGATTCAATACGGCCCCATCTCCCTGAGTGCTTGGTCTTCCAAGACTTAGCCTAAGTGGTTTTCAACTTCTCCCACAATACACTTATCACCATATAGTAGTTGATATTGGCCTTTGACTGTCAGATAAATGTGCAATGTGACCAACACAGTTCTATTCAAGTTCATTGTAGTTTGTGAATACATACATTTAGTACTGGTGGTAGGGTTCTGTGTAGAAGCCCGCCCGGGTTGGTACCACCGTCCTGTCTATTTCTGCCGCAAAACAGTAATACTGTGTTCCGGTCTGAAGGACAGGATAGCCGGTGTAAAATACATAAGGCTGCCCATCCAGGCCAGGATAGGCAGCGCATCTGAGTCACTGATGTAGTTTGGATGTCTATGGGCGACGGTTATCATTTCCAATCAGATGAGCCGTAAGCTCGTCTGCCTATCGAAAGAATTAAAAAAAAAAAAAAAAAAAAAAAAGTGTGCGTGTACTAGTGTACACACGTAAGAAGTGAAACTTCTTTATGGCCTTATTTTTCGAAAAATGATCTACATGCAACTTTCTAGAAATTGGTTAAATAAAGTTAAATTAGATAAAGTTTAAAACAAAAGGATTTTATTATCATAGACATGAATACAAAAAAGGTTAAATTAGATAAAGTTTAAACAAAAGGATTTTATTATCATAGACATGAATACAAAAAAAAAGTTAAATTAGATAAAGTTTAAACAAAAGGATTTTATTATCATAGACATGAATACAAAAAAATGTGTGCGTGTACTAGTGTACACACGTAAGAAGTGAAACTTCTTTATGGCCTTATTTTTCGAAAAATGATCTACATGCAACTTTCTAGAAATTGGTTAAATAAAGTTAAATTAGATAAAGTTTAAACAAAAGGATTTTATTATCATAGACATGAATACAAAAAAGATGGCGCGTAACGGAAAAATGTGACGCGTAACCGAAAAATGTGACGGTAAATTTTTTTCCAACGCCGATAAAGAAGTTTCACTTCAAAAAGATGGCGCGTAACGGAAAAATGTGACGCGTAACCGAAAAATGTGACGGTAAATTTTTTTCCAACGCCGATAAAGAAGTTTCACTTCAAAAACGTGTTTAAAATGAATTACAGGTATGAAGCGATGACTAGGATTTACTACAGAGGTGCACACGCTGCTATTATTTGTTACGAACCGTCATCTCATGAGTCGTGGACGAGACTAAGACATTGGCTGCACGAACTAAGAACAGTGGAAGATGTGAGTATTTATTAAGTGAAGACTATTAATATTCACTTATTTAGATTTCACAACAAAATGCAATATGAGTATTGTTAAAAGCCTACTAAATGGTTCTTGGCATGATTGTGTGAAAATTTACTGGTGGCAGGAAGTCTTAGGTACCACCACCCTGCCTATTTCTGCCGTGAAGCAGTAATGCGTTTCGGTTTGAAGGGTAGCCGTTGTAACTATACTGAGACCTTAGAACTAATATGTCAAGATGGGTGGCGGTTTTAAGTTGCATATGTCTATGTGCCCCGGGTAACCATTTAACACCAGGTGGGCCGTGAATTCATTCATTATATCTAAGCAATAAAAACAAAATGTGTGCAATTCACACGTGGTAGAAGTGAAACCTTCCAAAATTAAAATACAATTATCCTAAACGTCTTAAGTATATGTAAAATTTTGTCATTAGTAAATAATTGTAAGGTAGTGCCCTCTGTGAATTGATATTTTAATTTCACGTATAATCCAAAATTAAAATTCACTACAAGAGCTTTCATACACACGTTAGTATTAAAAAATCTCACAGATGGCGCTGTATTAAATAGTATGTATATTTCTGTCTCATTCTTTGCTGGCTTCATCCTACACATTTTTGTATTTGTGTCTCTTACCTGTCGTTTTTTCCGTTGCATCCGGTTTGAAATCACAACGATTCTAAAGAAGTTTTCANGAGCTTTCATACACACGTTAGTATTAAAAAATCTCACAGATGGCGCTGTATTAAATAGTATGTATATTTCTGTCTCATTCTTTGCTGGCTTCATCCTACACATTTTTGTATTTGTGTCTCTTACCTGTCGTTTTTTCCGTTGCATCCGGTTTGAAATCACAACGATTCTAAAGAAGTTTTCACTTCAAAAAATAAAAAAACAGCTTTCATACTATGTACTTCCTAAAATTATGTTAACACAAATTATATATAAAGTATACATGCTTGCTGCAAGTAGCAAGCTAAATATAAATAGAAATAAAAAAATTATAAAATGAATCGATTAAAATTAATACAAAACCAAGAAAAATTTGTGAATAACAACACTTTTCAATAAACTTATCCCAATGCATGTAAGTAGAATTATCAGTAATACCACTATTATATAAAAAGGTTGAGCCTGTGAGTTCACTCACCAGTTTGAGCACAGCCTCAGTAGCCCCCTTAGGCTAAAACGTATATTATATATTAAGTAAGGAAACTTGAATGAATATAACTTGAATGTCATCATTGGAAATTCTTCTTGCAGAGTTGCAAAGTGTATTTATGTGGTACAAAAAAGGATTTATTAGACGGAGGGTTCGTGAAAAGGGAAGTGGCCGAAGAGATTGTGAATACTTACTCTCAAGATTTGAACGGACATTTCCTTACATCGAGCAAAACCGGTGAGAATGTGGGTAAGTACACTAAATATCTTACGTTAAAATAATAACAATAATGGGAAACATTAATCCCATGTATAAATTACAAATTTCACTGGTTGTAGGACGTCTTGTGAGTCCGCATTGTTAGGTACCATCGCCCTGCTTATTTCTGCTGTGAAGCAGTAATGCATTTCGGTTTGAAGGAAGGGACAGCCGTAGTAACTATACTGAGACCTTAGAACTCATATCTCAAGGTGGCGGAATTTACGTTGTAGATGTGTCTATGGGCTCTAGTAACCACTTAACACTAGGTGGGCTGTGAGCTCGTCCACCCAACAAAGCAAAAAAAAATTTTTTTTTGTCTATTGCTCACTTTGAGAATAATTTTTTTAACGTCCCAATTTCTTCACCTACTTAAAGACCACTATAGCGAGAGCTCAGTCGGTGTCTAAGAGTCCTCCTAAATGAGACTACAAATCACCTCCCAAGCCTCTACACAACGCCCCCATTTTCTTTCTGGGCCTCTTACCGCCCTTTAAGCTTGCAGCGCCCACAAGGGGGCGTTATCGCCCACTTTGGGAAAGGCTGGTCTAGAAGATTAATTATATGGCTTATCTCAGAAAATTTAGTCGCAGATTTCATTCAAGCCGTTTTGTGTTCCAGATGAACTCTTCCAGAAGATTGTCGACGACCTTGCTGCTGACGTGGAGGTAATGAAGACGGTTACGGAGAGCAGATTGCTGCTGACAGAGCTAGACAAACGCAAAAGCAAAAAGGATGTGTGTGCATGCTAGTGATTTAGTTTGGACAGAGAAGAGATTTAGTTGGTTAAATTAATTAAATGGAACAAATATTTATTGGTAATAAAAGCCATATTAATTAGGAGGTACCGAGTGATTATTAGTTGCGGTCGTAACGGAGCTTGGGTAATGTGTGCTTCGAATGTTTTAATGGCAACACTGCTCTAGCCTTTTTTATAGCTTTTTTTAAGGGATTTTATGACCTGGTAACTAAGACTTTTAGGTCATGTCTTATTTTAATATTTTTATCGCGAAGCTGTATGGGTCGCGATCCCTGGAATGGTTTCTTTTTGGCAGCGTGGATTTTGATCCACAATTCGTATGGCGTATGGATGAACAAAAAATTAAATATGTTTCGCCGCATTCATGGTTAGAGGTCGGACGTATGTATGTGTAAGTAATTGTAAAATGGAAATTAGTATTTGCCATTTCATGTAGTTTGTAGGAATTGTGGATAGATAGCGTTAAACGAGGCTCTTAAGAGCCCCGTCCCTTCGCCAACTGAAATGAAAACGCTCGCTTCCTTTTTTTTTATCTGACACATTTAAACGTAATAAATGACATTTGAAAACTAGTTGGAGTGGCAGCAAAAATTTAGTGTTTAAAATAAATTGAAATCAAATCGATATTGTGGTTGTATAAAAATGTACTGATCGAAGAAATTCAAGCCAAATTATTATTGTTATTTAATTTTTTTAAATTATAATTAAAAAGAAGTTTGTATATAATTATAACTTGTTTTAAGATTTGATTTCGCAACTTTTTTTATTGTTCTTATATTATTTCCGTCTTTTCGGATGCTATATTGGAATTGAGACTGTATAAATCTACATTTAAATACTGTGCTGATTACCGTCTATATTTATATATAAAAAAATCTAGACACTTGTTTCATTTTACATTGAACGAACTAACAGTATCTTGAAGTCTGTCTGTTTGTTTGCCTTAGCGGTAGGTAGCGGCCTGGCATTGCTAAAGTCCATGGGCGACGGTAACCGTTCACTACCAGGTGGGCCGTATGCTCGTCTGCCTACAATGGCAATTTTTTTTTCTTTTTTTTCCTGCCTAAGCTGATAGATAGGGCAATAAAAAAACGGCCGGCAGATTCGCAGCAATTAAAAAAAAAAGTCTAACAGAAATTATATTTTATTTTTATATCTATATATTAATACGTGAAGCAAAAACTTTGTTCCCCTTTTTACGAAAATTGCGCAGACGGAGGAGTATGTAATTTCCCACACTTATAGAGAATATAGAGAAGGAGTGCAGAATGCTATTATTTTTTTAAATTATGCATTAAAAATACATAATATCAATAAAAAAAAAAACCTTACACATACTAACATGTATTTGACACACACAAGCATATATACTCTTTTGTTTATTGTTAAAGTGTGTGGTTAAATAGATTAATATTATTTGTCTATACTGTAAGCCTTGGCGAAATCTGTGATCATAGAAGTATAGTCTTTGACAATAGAATCTTAACAATGTTCAAACTTATAATTTAAATCAATAATTATAGTCGAATTTCGATTAATTGGCGGCCACTAGTAACAATAAAATAATGACCATAAACATGTGTGGTCGTTTCTAAACTAAAATTCACGTGTTTGGATATCTTGGATGTGAATAAAAATACCGTCAAAAAAAAAAATCATGGCTAACATTCACAGCGTTGGTTCTTGGCCCCAGGAAATCCTTTCTTTTTTTTTTCTTTCAAATAAATAGAAGTCACAAATGTTTTTGTATTGCTATTGCCTAATGAAATTATATACATTTTTTAAAAATATTCTTGTTTTATTTTGTGTCTATAGTTGTTTTTTTTCTTTTTTTTCCTGCCTATTCTGATAGCCTTGAGAGGCTATTTCAGCTTCACCCTAACGTCTAGGTGAGCTCACGGGGCTCAAATCGTAAGTGTTGCTAACACTGGCCCTAGCGAGAGCAGTGCTTCATGCACGGACACATTGCATATCATGGGCTTGGTGCTTTTGGGTACCACAGGGTTCAACGAGCGATTTAACCCATAGACACAGCCCACTGAATTTCTTGCCGGATCTTCTCAGTGGGCCGCGTTTTCGATCCGGTGGTAGATTCTGCGAAGCACTGCTCTTGCTAGGGCCAGTGTTAGTGACACTTACGGTTTGAGCCCCGTGAGCTTCACCTACAGGTTAGAACAAAGCTGAAAGCGGAAGCACAGGTAAAAAAAATATATCATGAAACTTACAGATATGGAATTAAAAATGAATCCTTAAATTTATCATTGCCGTTGTCCATACGTGACATTAATAAGACGCTCGGCATGGTGACTTTTTTTTATTATGTTCAAATTATTTGAAATGCTTTACTATTTATTATAAGTAATAGTTTCAAAATGGCTAATTGTACAATCAAATCGAAAAGGGTTTGTTCGGGAATTATTTTCCTTTTTTTTTGGTTAGAGGGGTGGACGAGCTCACAGCCCGCCTGGTGTTAATTGGTTACTGAAGCCCATAGACATCTACAACGTAAATGCGCCACCCACCTTGAGATATAAGTTCTAAGGTCTCAGTATAGTTACAACGGCTGCCCCGCCCTTCAAACCGAAACGCATTACTGCTTCACGACAGAAATAGGCGGGGTGGTGATACCTACCCGTGCGGACTCACAAGAGGTTTCGGCCACCAGTAATATTTGTAGTTCTAAAATCTGCCGATAGATGGCGTTGAATATAAAATTTTAACTTTTGTAATATTATTACTTTTCGTTCCTGCGATTCATATAAGTACATAATCACAACTATATGTTGTTCTTATATTATGTTAATTGTAGATTTTTTTAATATACACACAAACATACACACACATACACGCACACACACACACACACACACACGCGCACACTAGTTTGGTTTTTTAAGCGACATTTCGCTTAACACGCGACCTTTATCATTGTAATTAAAAGTCCCTTTTATTTGGTATCTGTTAGCATCAGCAATTCGATGTTTTTAATTGAACTTCAATTAAGTTTACTCCATTACTCCATTCAATTAGAAATAACTGAAGAAGTTTTGTTTGTTATGATGTTTTTTCCAAATTTTTGAAATTTGATTTACTAGTGGTAGGACCTCTTGTGAGTCCGCACGGGTAGGTACCACCACCCTGCCTATTTCTGCCGCGTAACAGTAATGTGTTTCGGTTTCAAGAGTGGGGCAGCCGTTGTGACTATACTGAGACCTTAGAACTTATATCTCAAGGTGTGTGGCGCATTTACGTTGTAGATGTCTATGGGCTTCACAAACCACTTAACACCAGGTGGGCTGTGAGCTCGTCCATACGTCTAAGCAATAAAAAAAAATTATTTTGAATGGCTCTTCAGTGAAGTTGCAAAAATGACGCTTAAACCAAACAGCCTTCCAACTCTCGATATGTGACTTTATCGTCTCTCTGTATCGATATTATTAACAATGTTTTTTTATTTAAATCAGAAGCGAACTTTACCTACATATACATTAATGTTGTTTTTAAAAGAAATTCAGTAATTAATTCAAGGAAATAAACCACAATGGATTTAGTTCATTCTATGAAGAAGGGCTTGTGGTGCGAGTCATAAGAAGTTAGTCGAGAGTCGAGCGGGCGACTCGCGACGCGCTTGTGAAGATGTTGGCGCAAAAGCATTCTATATTGACAGACTCGCTTGTGCAGAGTTTGGCACCCCTGACTGTTGCACCGAGGGTCGTGGATTCGATCCCCACATTCGTGTGATGCACAGGTTTATTTGGTCTTTGTCTGGGTGTTTATTATCTATAAATTTATATGTACATATATGTCGGCGCAACGTAACTATTTAGTTAACTAAAAATAGTTAAAATTAACGGTTTCTTTAACGTTACGTATGCCAACAACTGCTTAAGACGGTATTCAAGAGAATTCATGACTAAGCTACCCCCACTTTCTACTTAACCTCGAAGGGTTATGCTATCTTTAGCGAACGTGCGAGCTCACGGGGCTCAGCCTGGAGGATTTGCTACACTACGTTCTACCAGCTTACCCAAGCTTCGACATAATGTTATTGGTGGTAGGACCTCTTGTGAGTCCGCACGGATAGGTACCACCACCCTGCCTATTTCTGCCGTGAAGCAGTAATGCGTTTCGGTTTGAAGGGTGTGGCAGCCGTTGTAACTATACTTGAGACCTTAGAACTTATCTCTAAAGGTGGCGCATTTACGTTGTGGATGTCTATGGGCTCCAGTAACCACTTAAGACCAGGTGGGCTGTGAGCTCGTCCATCTATTTAAGCAATAAAAAAAATCGGTATTGAACTACACGAGCTATAGCAGGTCGTCGGTCCAGAACTGTTGGCCACTGCGCCTATCTGTTCGATCACCATGCCCTGCCACATCAACCTCGGAAGCCTTCCCGGTATGTCAGACTCGCGCTTTGGGTAGCCATAATACAACACAACATATTTGATGCCTGAATCTCGCTTAAGAAATTTTCAAGATAAGCTTGCATATATGCAAGTTCCGTACAACAACATTCGGACTGTCGATCTACCGACCAATCTCACTAGCTCGCTGAAAGATCTTTCTTTTGTCGTTAGCACCAAACAAGTTTACCTCTAAAAGCACAATGTCATGTTCATTCGGTTTAATCGCTATCGCCTGTGATTTAAACCAAGCGAGCTGCCTCTGACGTATCGGCGCCCGCACATACCGCAAACCTGACATTAACGACGCCCAGTTCTATTAGGGCTGCCAGTTTAACGTAATTACTCAACCTTATTATAAAGTTGTTAGGAGGACTGGTTTTGCTCTTCAATCACTCCCCCTTTACGTATGCTAGTGTGATGGGAGGGATGACGGTGCTAACTGCCGTCTGTAGACCCGAAAACGCTAGTTTTACTGAGAAAATGAAAAACGAACTTAGATATACAGAAGTAAGGTCTTAATTCCTTTCCTACTGCCCTGCGTGTTACACTAAACGAATTTTGCTGGTAACATTATTGGTACCATCGATTTGAACGTGTCAGGTAAGTGCTTAAAGAAGACTTTTTGGCGAGAACACGAGGAGTGAAGTTGTGTGATTTGTTTTATTATGTCTATTTAGTGTTTCTTCAGGTTTAAATGCATAATAACTGTGGTTTATTAACTGTTTAGTATCTGTGAAAGTGCACAAATGTGAACTTCAGAGGTGTCAAGGGACACCCGGATGGAACGAAGTTCCTTTCGATTAATTAGTGAAGGAATTGTATTTTTTTTTAAGTTATAATAATAAATTACGGCATTATGAAGAAGAAAAAAACAATACTACGAACTAAATTACTATTGTTGAAACGCTATCTCGAGAAACTGTACTCATTACACGGACCAATCGGATACGAGCAATGTCACGCGATACGCGCCTACACGTTGATTGGTCAGAATGACGGATCTAAAAAGTGTCGTGACAACTTTTCGTAAGAATTTTTTCCGTCTAGCCCCCTTTCACAACGCGCGATAAGGAACTTCGTTCCAAAACTTCGTTCCAATAAAACAAACCTGTTGGACGTAACTTTTCGGGATCCTCTAAAAAGTCCACTGAAAAAGTCTCAGTAAAATGGTAGTCATTTACCATTGGTAGTCATTATATTTCATACCATACCATCTCATTTCAACTCATTTCATGCGATGTTTCATATTAATCAACTTCATTTCATTTCACTTCATAATATTATCATTTTTCATATAATAAAAAAAACATATTATTATATAAAAAGATTAGGCGTTTGGTATGGCACTTTTGCTTTTCTAATTGGAAAAATAAAATTCCTACTACGGTTTAAAGAAATTGTTATCTACCCGCAGGACTTGATTAAATCACTGAGTTATAAGTATTCAAGCTGTTTTTGGCCGCAAGTGTACGAACTAAGCGCTCGCCCTCAATATCGCCGCTTGCGAAATGCGGGGGCGTCGAGAGTGAAAAAAAAAACTTGTGCGTGATGACCCTGATTTAATACGAACGTAACGAGTAAGTCCAGTTTCCACCATCAGACGCGCAACACTATAATCACTCGGACGCCTTGTGTTTGTTAACTGAATACAATATTGTTTTTAAATACATTCAAAACAAATTCGATCTTGATATTCGAAATCGAGGTTCGAAAGTGCGGGCGGGCTTTAAGTTAAAGAAAAGTTCGTTCTCCAGAGCTTTCGGTTCAGTGTTTTCATCGATATTAGTACAATGTAGTGGAACTTGTGTTTCGCAGCTCTGTATATTGTCTTGTGTTGAGGTAAGTGTTGTATGTGTGTCGTTTTTTTTTTTTTTGCTTTTTTTTATTAAACTTCAAACCAGTTTTGATTGTATTCCGTAAGGATCCTGTGTTAATCAGCTTAGAAAATCAAGGGCTTTGTTTAATTGTTTCGATTGCTGGCGTTTCGGGGTAGATAAAGGTTTTTGTCGTAATACCGTCATTTGCCGACAGACGGCGCGCGTGTCATTAAAACAATCGTACTCGCTGCATTCAGAGATCGTATCAGCGATGCGTGGCTTCGTACTACAAAAAAATGTGTTTAATTTATGCAGAATTATATTGACTTCCGTGAAACGAAGTAGCCTTCGCACGGTCCAAATTATACTTTAACGTACTATGAGAAAGAATGTATGGATGTTTTTTTTTTTAATTACTTAGATGGGTGGACGAGCTCACAGCCCACCTGGTGTTAAGTGGTTACTGGAGCCCATAGACATCCACAACGTAAATGCGCCACCCACCTTGAGATATAAGTTCTAAGGTCTCTAGTATAGTTACAACGGCTGCCCCACCCTTCAAACCGAAACGCATTACTGCTTCACGGCAGAAATAGGCAGGGTGGTGGTACCCACCCGCACGGACTCACAAGAGGTCCTACCACCAGTAATTACGCAAATTATAATTTTGCGGGTTTCACTTTTATTACACGATGTTATTCCTTCACCGTGGAAGTCAATCGTGAACATTTGTTGAGTACGTAATAATGTTTATTTGTTACTCTTTCACGCAAAAACTAGTGAATGGATTTTGGTGAAACATTACAATAATACAGCTTACACATAGGCTATAATTTATAAAGATACTAGCTGTCCCGGCAAACATTGTTTTGCCATTTATAGGATTTCTAGGGAATTTCTAGTGTAGAAAAAAAACTAACTTATTATAAGTGTGTAAGGATGTGGTAAATGAGTGAAAGAGGCATGTAGCGCTGTGAAGGATGAGGGAATATCTAATAAAAATAACAAAACCTCATTCAACCACATAATACCTCATTATAACAAAAAAAAGTCCAAATAAAAAAAATATGTTAGGGGTGGACAACCCTAATCACTTAGGGGTATGAAAAATAGATAGTAGCCGATTCTCAGGCTTATTGAATATGCATAAAAAAATTCATGAGACTCGGTCAAGCGGTTTCGGAGGAGTATGGGAACGAACATTGTGACACGAGAATTTTATATATTAGATAGTGTGAATTAGGTACTCAAAATATGACGATAAGTGTCAAGTAAGAAATAAAAAATCTGCCATCTGCGAGTTATTTTGGCGTGCGCCGCAAAACTGGATCAAGTTACACATAATAATATATAATGTAAAATGGAAATGTTTATTTTAAATAGTCCTACAAAAAAATCTCGGAACAGCATAACTATCTTTTATTTGTAAACCATTATCGCCAAAATAGAGAACCATGAATATAAGTTGAGGGAAGTTTAGATTTTTAATTTGTTACGTTCTTTTAAAATACGCTTTTATTAGCTTCAGACGTTTGTATGTTAGTATGTATGTTTGTAACGGAATCTTTGAACATGATTTTGACCCCCTTCAAAACGTCGGATTAACTCGAAATTTGGTATACTTATTAAGGACCGATGACATTCAATAATAGTGTAAGAAAAAATGATACTATCGTAAAAAAAAGTGGGTTAGATGGTATCAGTGGTTATAAATATTTTATGAACAGATATGAGTAGAAGGGTTATTTTGATAATATCCTGAAAAGCACCCCACACATTTTACAATAAAATCATTTTTTATTACACTATTTTTAATTGAAATTTATTAAAATTTATTTTCTATTTTTTAGTTGGATTTTCTATAAAAGCGTAATTTGTTAGTTTTTTTAAACTATCATTTATTTTTATTGTGTCTGTTACTGTCAGGACCAGATTTGGCTAAAAGAAAATTCAATAAGATCAGTAATATCAATTACAGTAACCCGCGAGGCGAGGGCGGGCCGCTATGATGCTATAGTTGCATTTACACTAATGCTTTCCTCGTCAAACTATAGACTAACTATGAACTATAACTATGACCGAACGATAGAAATTCCAAAGTATTTTGCCGATCACCAATCACGGAACCCTAAACGTTTTTTTTTATTGCCCTTGTTGGCTGACGAGCATACGGCCCACCTGATGGTGAGTGGCTACCGTCGCCCTTGGACTTCAGCAATGCCAGGGGCAGAGCCAAGCCGCTGCCTACCGTTTAATACTCTCCGCAAGCCTCGTTTGAAGAAGGATATGTCACAGCGCTCGGGAAACACCGTGGAGGGGAGCTCATTCCATAGCCGGATGGTACGTGGCAAAAAAGACCTCTGGAAACGCACTGTGGAAGCTTGTTACCTCTGGAAACGTGTTACCATCACCAAATACTTCGGTGCGCTTTTTTCCCCTACCTATTCGTCGGTAGCCCAGGGGGCTATTCCAGTTACGGCTCAACCTAAGAGACTTTGCTAACACTAGCCCTAGCAAGAACAGTGTTACAGAATCTACCACTGGATTCGCAACCCGCTGAGAAGATCCGGCGAGCTTAGTCACTGCATAAACGCGATATTAAAACAAAAAAGTCACCATTTAACGCCATTTAATTGTAATTCCCGATGTTATTATGTCGTTATCTCAATAGCGTTTCATTGTGGAGTCAGCCCACACAAAAAAATTATCTATTGTAACGGACGTGACGTCAGCTGCCATGCCCTGCTGCCAACAACGCTGCCACGGCCTCTTCCGCGACCGCCACCAGCCAAAGTCAACGATGGGGGGTATTGTGAATAAAACAAGCCTTGCCAGCCATTTCTATCCGTTTTTCTCATAAATAAAAGAAAGGTTTTTTTATCGCATCATTTATTTAGTGCAGGGGTTTCCAAACTCATTTTGTCTATTGCACTCTTTGAAAATAAATTCGTTTTTTAGCGCCTCCATCTTTTCACTTACTTGAAGTCCAATATAGTGAGAGCTCAGTCGACGTCTAAGAGTCCTCCTAGATGAAATGACAAATCGCCTCCCAAGCCTCTACACAACGCCACCTTTTTTTCTGGGTCTCTTACCTTCCTTTAGGCCTGCAGCGCTCACAAGGGGGCGTTATCGCCCACTTTGGAAAAGGCTGATTTAGTGTTCGAAATTCGACTATAATTATTTGGAATTGTAAGTTTGTACACTATTATGATTGTATTTTATACTTCTATAATCACAAATTTCGCCAAGACTACACTATAAAAAATATTAACAAAGACAAAAAACTTCAGAGGTGTCAAGGGACACCCGGATGGAACGAAGTTCCTTTCGATTAATTAGTGAAGGAATTGTAATTTTTTTTTTAAGTTATAATAATAAATTACGGCATTATGAAGAAGAAAAAAACAATACTATGAACTAAATTACTATTGTTGAAACGCTATCTCGAGAAACTGTACTCATTACGCGGACCAATCGGATACGAGCAATGTCACGCGATAAGCGCCTACACGTTGATTGGTCAGAATGACGGATCTAAAAAGTGTCGTGACAACTTTTCGTAAGAATTTTTTCCGTCTAGCCCCCTTTCACAACGTGCGATAAGGAACTTCGTTCCAACAATATTTAATCTATTCTCAATTTGACAACAGACGTCAAGAACAAAAGTTTGACAATAAATAGTATGCATGCTTGTGTGCGTCAAATACATGGTATGTAGTGTGTGTAATGTTTTTTTTACTCATTTAATGTATCTTTTATGCATTACTTTAAAAAAATATTAGCATTGTGCACTTCTTCTCTATATTCTCTATAAGTGTGGAAAATTTCATACTCCTCCGTCCGCGCAATTTTCGTAAAAAGGGATACAAAGTTTTTGCTTCACGTATTAATATATAGATATTTACATCAGATTTATAATATATTTACACAATGTAATACAACTAACAAATTGAATCACGGGGTCGATGACCTTGAGAGATTGTATTGTTCAGCTGTCAGCTACCTTCCTGGTACACTGCGCGTTTTGATTCGTCTAAATGTGTGGACAAACTTTCAGCCCATTTAGTCCTAAGTAAGATATTACATCGTAACGTGTACACAGCTTCCCCTTCAAGCTAGAACGCAAGACTGCTTCGCTACAAAAAAAACTTCAGAGGTGTCAAGGGACACCCGGATGGAACGAAGTTCCTTTCGATTAATTAGTGAAGGAATTGTAATTTTTTTTTTAAGTTATAATAATAAATTACGGCATTATGAAGAAGAAAAAAACAATACTATGAACTAAATTACTATTGTTGAAACGCTATCTCGAGAAACTGTACTCATTACGCGGACCAATCGGATACGAGCAATGTCACGCGATAAGCGCCTACACGTTGATTGGTCAGAATGACGGATCTAAAAAGTGTCGTGACAACTTTTCGTAAGAATTTTTTCCGTCTAGCCCCCTTTCACAACGTGCGATAAGGAACTTCGTTCCAACAATATTTAATCTATTCTCAATTTGACAACAGACGTCAAGAACAAAAGTTTGACAATAAATAGTATGCATGCTTGTGTGCGTCAAATACATGGTATGTAGTGTGTGTAATGTTTTTTTTACTCATTTAATGTATCTTTTATGCATTACTTTAAAAAAATATTAGCATTGTGCACTTCTTCTCTATATTCTCTATAAGTGTGGAAAATTTCATACTCCTCCGTCCGCGCAATTTTCGTAAAAAGGGATACAAAGTTTTTGCTTCACGTATTAATATATAGATTATAGTCACTCGCAATAATAATGCCCATGACGGTCGTGTGATTAGCTCAGTGGACTTATATTGCGAAATGCGAGTTTGTTTCCCGGTCGGTCTTAGAATATATGTGTGAGAGATTTTCTTTGAATACGGGACTGTGTTTCTTTAGTCGCTTTAATAGCTCATCCTTTTTTTATCCTACCTATTATCGCTGGTAGGCTAAGAGGCTACGCCCGGGTAGGTGAGCTCACGGGCTCAACCTGAGAGAATTTGCTAACACTAACCCTAGCAAGAGAATCCACCACTGGATCGGAATCGCGACCCACTGAGATGACCCGGCGTGAAACTCAATGGGCTGTGTTTATGGGTTAGTTCGCTCGTCGTAATCGACGAGTTCGACGAGGACGGTGACCGGTGCTTGAGAGTTCTAAAATAATCGAGAGTGAATACGGGGGATCCGACAACACATGTTTTGGGCGACGGCGCCTTTGCGGTGCCCCGGATTGTGGCGTTGTCGGATAAGTCGTCGTGGCTTAAAGGATAAGACGCCCGGTGCATTCGTGTAGAGCGATGCACCGGTGTTCGAATCCCGCAGGCGGGTACCAATTTTACTGATGAAATACGTACTCAACAAATGTTCACGATTGTCTTCCACGATGAAGGAATAACATCGTGTAATAAAAATCAAACCCGCAAAATTATAATTTGCGTAATTACTAGTGTAAGTCCGTGCGGGTAGGTAGCACCACCCTGCCTATTTCTGCCATGAAGCAGTAATGCGTTTCGGTTTAAAGGGTGGGGCAGCCGTTGTAACTATACTTGAGACCTTAGAACTTATATCTCAAGGTGGGTGGCGCATTTACGTTGTAGATGTGTATGGGCTCCAGTAACCACTTAACACCAGGTGGGCTATGAGCTCGTCCACCCATCTAAGCAATAAAAAAAAGTAATTAGCGGAGACCACGATAGGCCGATTTTTTTTTTATTTTTTTTTTTTTTTTTTTTTNTTTTTATTGCCCTTGTAGGCAGACGAGCATACGGCCCACCTGATGGTGAGTGGTTACCGTCGCTCATGGACTTCAGCAATGCCAGGGGCAGAGCCAAGCCGCTGCCTACCGCTTAATACTCTCCATAAGCCTCGTTTGAAGAAGGACATGTCATAGCGCTCGGGAAACACCGTGGAGGGGAGCTCATTCCATAGCCGGATGGTGCGTAGCAAAAAAGATCTCTGGAAGCGCACTGTGGATGACCGCAGTGGCTCCAGGTAGTATGGATGAACTCTACTCCGGTGGCGGGCGGTGCGGTAGTAAAAACGAGATGCCGGTATCATCTCGAATAATTCCTCAGAGCACTCCCCATGGAACATACGGTAATTTCGTGCTGCTTTATCGAAGTAGCGTTCAGACGCTTCCTTAAGATACTTACAAATCAGTACTAAATTTAGATCGTCGTGAAGATCTAAATTCCTCACATACCGCGGTGCTCCGACAGCTATCCTGCATTAACGGGGTTGGATGACCTGGAAAGAGTTGATGTGTGTACGGGCCGCGTGAGCGAACACTCACTTGCATAGGTCATGACCGAACTTAAGAAAGTTTTGTAGAGTGTCACCTTGTTGTGAACGGACAAAAACTCATGCATGTGTGCATCTTTATACGTCATTTTCACAGATTTCAATACGTCCGATTGATAATTCGCAGGCGCATCAAGGGCCAATGACAATGCAATAATTTTATAACTTCGCTCTAATATCCTGACCGGTATCAATAGGGTTAATAAAAATAATAGAAGACATTAATTGTTAGTCGGTTTGCTATTAAAGTATGCATGTGTGTGTGTGTGTGTGTGTGTGTGTGTATCTTTATTGTATTTTCTTCAATTCCCGCGAGACTTAGACCTAATTAAAACTATTTTTACGGTTTAATCTCACGTTTTTTTTTATTGTCACATCGCAAAAATTAAAGGTAAAAATTCAGAATTTTCTAAATTGTCTAAACAGCAATCAGACGGTGGTCATCAACACAATATTCAGATGTCACGAAAATTATAAAGTATTCGAAACGCCTGAAACAATATAATATAATAATTAAACTGTAAAATTGGTTTTAATTTGATGATTCTTAATAAATTTTTTTAAATATCTTAATTTTTGTATTTGCGATTAAAACAGTGCTTAATTTCGAGACAGTAAAAGATATACGACGAAGAGTTCGACGAGCGAAGTAACCCACAGACACAGCCCACTGAGTTTCTCGCCGGATCTTCTCAGTGGGTCGCGATTCCGATTAGCTGGTAGATTCAGCGAAGCACTGCTCTTGCTAGGGCTAGTGTTAGCAAATTCTCTCAGGTTGAGCCCGCGAGCTCACCCACCCGTCCGGGCGTAGCTGGAATAGTCCCTTAAATTACTAGCCAATAGGTAAAAAATACGACTACGTATTAGACGTGAATTTTAAATGACCACATATGTTATAAACATTAGTGACTCATTGTAATCTTTAGTAATAATACGGGAAATGCGATTAAAGGGTTTTTACGCAGTGCAATGGAAAAAGCCGATAATTGTTTATCAATCTATACAAATAAATAAAATTGGAGTGTCTGTTTGTAATAATAAAATAACCACTTATTACTAAATGCGTAAGTATGTATACACAGTAAATATACCAAAATAACTTTATTTTTATTTTGTCTGTCTGTCTGTTTGTCTGTTTGTTCCGGCTAATATCTGGAATGGCTGGACCGATTTTGACGAGACTTTCACTGATAGGTAGTTGACGATATAAGGAGTCGCTTGGGCTACTTTTTTTAGACTAGCTTCGCCCTGCGGTACGACAATAACCGCGGGTAGCATCGCGTTGACTACAATATCCTCTTCTGCATCCGAAGTAAACCGATTTTTTCTTATTTATTTTGCTTAGCGTCCGTTACAGAACTTTAGAGCACTTTGTTAATTATTTTTTGTTTTTTTTTTTTTTAAATGTCAAAAACAAAACATAAAATCAATTTCGACAAAAACAATAAAGAAAGAAAACTGTCTAATACAAAAAAGTCCCTAAGAATAAAGAAGTAGTACAAACAATAAATATTATGTATGTGATTTGCAGACATCTCTTGGTTGTGGTTGGACCTCATCAAGTTAGAATGAGACCACCCCGAAATACTACGATGTGTCTTCGAACCGTCCCCATACGCTTTTCTTTTTGTACGCATTACGTCGAGAGCCATTTAAAACTTAAACATCTGGGAAAAAGATCTTAACAAACTTCCTCAACTATTTCAATGTAATATGTGTTGTACTATAAGAGCCAAAGAGTGATTTATAAACATTCCATTAAATAAAAATCTAGAGGTGAAAGTCCATTTGGCCAAAGCAACATTTTTGCAATTTTACAGGAGAACCAGTTAAAGTTTGCAATTTGGAAAAATTATCATAACAAAAAGAACTTCTTACAGCTATTTAAATGTAGTAAAATTAATTGAAGTTCAATTAAAAACATCGAACTGTTTATGCTAATATCAAATAACCTTTAACGCACTGGTGGTAGAATCTCTTGTGAGTCCGAGCGGGTAGGTACCACCGCCCTGCTTGTTTCTGCCGTGAAGCAGTAATGCGTTTCGATTTGAAGGGTGGGGCAGCCGTTGTAACTATACTTGAAAACTTAGAACTTATATCTGAAGTTGAGTGGCGGCATTTACGTCGTAGATGTCTATGTGCTCCAGTAACCACTTAACACCAGGTGGGCTGTGAGCTCGTCCACCCATCTAAGCAATAAAAACAAAAAAAAACATGTTCATCACATGAAAATTTGCCCGATGAGGGAATAGAACCTACGACCCTTGGCGCAACAACTAGCTGCTCCTTCGAGTCTGTTATGAATAAGACAGCGAAGCACGTTCAGGACCTAATTACCTTTTATCTCGTTTCAGATATGTTGTGAAGATGCACGTTAATTATATATTAACATTTCTCTTCGCCTGGAACTTAACGATTTTGACCAGCAGCCAGTTCGTTGGTGAGTTATAGTCAAATAATATTTATTTATATGTATTTCTATGTGTATATATTTATGTATATGTCTCTATTTAAGTACGAGTATTTGTATCTATAAATACTATATATGTTATATATATATATATATATATACGTATGTTTAAATACCTAATATCTCTATAACACTACACCTACCAAGATTCCTCTCTGCACGCCCCTAAGGTAGACTGTCAGAGAATGCCTATGGCCTTAAATCCGCCTTTATATTGTCAAGTATATAAAGTTATAAATAATAAATAAATAGATCGCTAGTTACATAGCTTTAGATAGACTGCGAGCTAAACTAGAAGCGAGATTAAATCGTAAAAATAGCTTTAATTATGTACACGATTCGCGAAAACCGTAAAGTTTATCAACAATACAAATAATACAATTAAAACTTTTTTTACGGTTTAATCTCGTATTTAATACTATTTAATTATTGTTACGGGCATTTTGAATACTCTAAAGCTGAGCGAGATGAAGCCTTAAAAGTAGTTTTAATTTTGTCTAAGCGCCCTCGAAAACTTTAAACAAGATCTGAAATACATTTTGCACGATTAAAACTTTTTTTACGGTTTAATCTCGTATTTAACACTCTCACCGCCACCTATATATAGAATTTGTCGGTGCGGCAGGCCGTGCGGTCCGCCGGCGGTCGCAACTATACCTAGCCGTGCAGGCCGTGGTGAAAAATCGATAACGAGCTTAGCAGGCCATACGGGCGGCTGGCGGACTCACTATTTATTTGTACTAGCAGGCCGTGCGGTCCGCTACCACCTCGTNGTGCAGGCCGTGGTGAAAAATCGATAACGAGCTTAGCAGGCCATACGGGCGGCTGGCGGACTCACTATTTATTTGTACTAGCAGGCCGTGCGGTCCGCTACCACCTCGTGATTTCATATTAATTTTATAGTGAATGGCCTGCTGTTACAGAAAAGTGAAGCTGCCAGATGAAAAATTTACTTTTTTACCTACAATTTAAAAAAAAAATTATTGCTGTATCTTTAAATTTATAGGATTACTAGAGGGTTAATTACAGCAAATAAAAATACATTATAAACGATAGGAACTTAGTTCTATTCATAAAAAATGACATTACTGCCTTATAATGGCGCTATGGAAGTTTGTAAAGCATTCGGAGACTACTGGAAAAGAAAAATTAGAAATTTGAAGGGCAAACTAAGTATTGACTTTCTTTTTTACTTCACATGCTTATAGACTTGTCAAGCCTTTTGCCGCTTCTGACGGATGTTGGTATTGGCGTCTGTATGTATGGTGTCTTCCTTCTGAAGATTTATCATCAGAACACCTATTTATGATTCCGAATTCTACGTCTGTAGATGGTTGATAGTCTGAGTCATCTACTGAATCTGACATAATGATAAAAACGTCGCACAAATGATGAAATGCACAAGAAAGTAATGGTAATCTAAAGAAAAACGCGCGAAAATGCGACCGTTGCAAGCCGTGCGGGCCGCCGGCGGGCTAATGATTGATTATTAGGTGTGGCGTGACAGACTCGAAATTGTTTTAAGTAGTTACAGAAATTTTGTTATATTTTGGCGCGAAACATACGGTGCGCCGGCGACCCGTACGGCCTGCTAATCTCGTTTACTGCAACATATTGGTGGCGTGTCTAACTCGAAAATATATGACCCGCCGGCGGACCGTATGGCGGTGAGAGTGTTAATAATAATATTATTAAATTATTATTTCGGAAGTATTGACTACTTTGAAATTGAGATAAATTAATTCGTAAAAGTTCTTTTATATAAGTTCAGGTTTCTTTAAAATCGAAGAATAAAGATTTGTAGTATATTTTTTAGAATCACAGCGTTACGTATCGTTTTTGATGCCTTGATGTTCAGAGTACTTCTTTTCCAAAAATGCGTTCTAGAAGATAACAATATAGAAATGATAAGGAGATGTCAGCACACGCTCCTTTAATTGAAAGTTTTTTTTTTAGAAGTCATTTCCTAATTATCTCGTATCAGATCTCGTATTGATTTGGCGTTTCTCAAAATTACGTGTCATTGAATTTCTTACATCGTATCTTCTCAGTGGGTCGCGACTCCGATCCGGTGGTAGATTTTGCGAAGCACTGCTCTTGCTAGGGGCCAGTGTTAACAAATTCTCTCAGATTGAGTCCATGAGCTCCTACCCGTCCGGGCGTAGCTAGAATAGCCCCGTAGGCTACCAGCGAATAGGAACGGGAAAAAACTCAAATTGTTTCTATCTTATAAGAGATTATTAACAATAACTTTTCGTGTTTTTTAAATGAACAAGTAAGAATGACAATGATAATAACTCTACAATTGTTTGGCATCGCGACGGTATCCAACATTTAATTCAATCAGTGCTCAACGATATTGGCTGTTGTTATTATAAATAACTAAATATACATAGCTGGGAATATAATAGATAACTGGGAACAAATCGCGCACGGTTATCTGGCCCCAATTTAGGATTCCCTGTGTTATGAGTACCAAAGACATACTCAACATGACATGACATACTCAACATGACAATATTGACAACTGACATACATACTTACATTCCCGATCCTGCGGAAAGAATGGAAAGCAGTCGACGTCTCCCAAAACACGTCATCTCGGATCCCCCCGATCCACTGACGGTGCTTCTAGGTACTTCAAGCACTGGTCACCGTTCTCGTCGAACCCGTCGCTTGCGACGAAGGGCTCGACGAGTAAATTAACTCCCAGACACAGCCCACTGAGTTTCTCGCCGGATCTTCACAGTGGATCGGGTTTCCGATCCGGTGGTAGATTCTGCGAAGCACGGCTCTTGCTAGGGTTCGTGTTAGCAACGTCGTCCGGTTTGAGCCCCGTGAGCTCACCTACTAGTTACGGTTACGCTGAAATAGCCTCTCAAGGCTACCAGCTTAGGTAGGAAAAAAAAATACTTATATACGTTTAAATGTATACATATATACATAATGAACACCCCGACAAAGAGCAAACAAGCCTGTTCACCACACGAATGTTTGCCCGACGTGAGAATCGAACCCGCGACCCTTGGCGCAACAAATTCAAATTCAAAATCATTTATTTCAACTCAGATGTCAGTATGTCACACTTGTTGAATGTCAAAATATAAATAACAATGTTAACTCTACCACCGGTTCCAAAAAAAGCCACAGTCCTGAGAAGAACCGGCGAAACAAACTCAGCGGGCTTTTTTTTGTTTTGTTTTTTCTCAAATATTTTCTTTTTTTTTAACAATTTTTAACAATTAGGGCCGCTAACTATTCTACCACTGAATCAGTCAATATTGGTTAGGGTGATATGATATTTTTCGGAGTATAAAGTAAAAAAGACGGTCCCAATTGCAGCGTCACCTTTAGGAACTAATTTTAAATTTAAACTAACCAAAGACGCATTCGAACGCAAAAAAAAGATATAAAAATACTTAAGTATCGACCCATTATGCGGTCAATGACAAACAAACGGAGGGAACAATGAAATTTATATATTAAAATTATGAATATGTTTACGACATATAAAGGTTCAGGTATACAATCCGTATATGTTAATTATATATGTATATATATATTTGTTATCTATATATTAATACGTGAAGCAAAAACTTTGTACCCCTTTTTACGAAAATTTTACGGACGGAGGAGTATGAAATTATACGTTACGTTAGTTGTACGTTATTACAAAGTTAAGTCGTGCACTGTATGCATTACTAATAAAAATCTTACGTTATGGACGTTTTTTCCCGCATCCGCATCGTCCTATAAGGAACTTCGGTTCTTCTTCGGTTTCTTAGTTTTGTAAGCAAAACAGTTTTACGATAAAAATAACAAGAATTATTATTGTATCTAATGATACCTCTGTTTTTCGGGCCAACTTATCCGGATTAAAAAAGGAAATAAACTCTGTTTATATTTTTATGTCTGATGCATAAGTGGTGGCTGTACCATATTTGCATATATACAAGTTCCGGGGCAATAACCTTCAAGCCGTTATTCCACCGAACAATCTTACTCGCTTCATGGAAGATCTTATTTTTGTGGTAATATTAAAATATGATAAAATAAGTCATGCATAAATATGTATGTGAATGTATGTTCAGGTGTGAGGATATTTATTTTATATTATATTATTATCTCTTTATTTATTATAGACTAGCTGACCCGGCAGACTTCGTTGTGCCTCAATCGATAAATAAAATACCTAAACTTTTGTGTAAAATAAACTTAAAACAAACAAAAGGAATCCGTCCGACGGGGGACACATCAAAGGGAAAACAAAATTGTTATTTTTATTTATATTCCGAGCATTTTCATATTTATCTATCTACCTTTTAAGCCTTCTCTGGACTTCTACAAATAATTCAAGACCAAAATTAGCCAAATCGGTCCAGCCGTTCTCGAGTTTTAGCGAGACTAACGAACATCAATTCATTTTTATATATATAGATATTTATTTCAAGGTGAAAATTTACAAACCGATATTAGTCTTGTCGTGCTATATGGATCTGAATGTTATGGCGACGATATTAAAGCATGAAAGAGGAGTGCGTGCGGCAGAGATGCGAATGTGGAGATTGAAAAGGCTGGACAGGATAAGGAATGAGTATATCAGAGGAAGTGTGAAAGTAGCCCCGGTGATTGCCAAATTAAAGAGCGGACGGTTAGCGTGGTATGGAAATGTGATGTGGTGGTGGTGGTGGTGGTGGCGGCTCTTACTGTTCGTAGGACCTCTCGTGAGTCCGCGCGGGTAGGTACCACCACCCTGCCTATTTCTGCCGTGAAGCTTTAATGCGTTTCGGTTTGAAGGGTAGGGCAGCCGTTGTAAGACCACCAGTAATTACGCAAATTATAATTTTGCGGGTTTTATTTTTATTACACGATGTTATTCCATCACCGTGGAAGTCAATCGTGAACATTTGTTGAGTACGTATTTCATCAGAAAAATTGGTACACGCCTGCGGGATTCGAACATCGGTGCATCGCTCAACACGAATGCACCGGACGTCTTATCCTTTAGGCCACGACGACTTCAACTTCGACGGGTGACGGCACTTACCTTGTAGATCTCTATGGGCTCCGGTAACCACTTAGCACCAGGGGTTAGGCATAAATCTAAGCAATAAAAAAAAAAATATATATATATATATATATAGAGAATATAGAGAAATAAAAAAAATACATTAAATCAATAAAAAAAAAACATTACACACACTACCGTGTATTTGACACACACGAATGCATATTATTTGTTTATTGTCAAACTTTTCTTATTGTTAAAGTCTGTAGTCAAATTTAGAATAGATTAATTAATATTGTTTGTCTTTATTAATATTAGGACCACTAGTTACACTAGTCACATATAATTGAAGTGAAACTTCCTTATTAAATGAATCTAACAATGAAAAATATGTTTTTGTTTTCATAAACGAAACATTTTTTTTGTGGTCGGGTTTTTTGCGTCGTAAAATGATTTTGTTTTTCCTAAAGTTAATTAATTGGTTGAAATCATCGAGACATCACTTCGTATTATGATGCTTACAATTATAGTTGTTATTGATACGAGGTGACTGACCGCCTGCCTGTATATACCGTTGGATTGAATAGTCGAAAGGTTTGCGTTCGGATTATTTAGATCTAGTTTAGAGCCATTCTCGTAAAAAAACAGGCACAAATCCGACCTTAATCTAGCCGAGGGTCCTATACCACACTACTATAGACACATTCCTCTGCAGCTCTGTACTGATCCCGAGCTCTTCTCGTATACAGACACAGATCCGACCTACATCTAGCCGAGGGTCCTATACCACACTACTATAGACACAGTCCTCTGCAGCTCTGTACTGATCCCGAGCTCTTCTCGTACACAAACAGACACAAATCCGACCTACATCTATATTAAATGATGCCAGTACAATGCAATTCCCAACTGGCATGTATTAGTAGGATATTGCGAACCCGCACGGGCGCATGCTGTATATTATACCGCAAAGCAATAATGCCGTCGTTAGACGAGGGGACAGTTGTCACACCATACAATTGAGACTTCCACTAGATGTTTCAAGGTGGGTAATGTTAGTGTTGACCGGTTTTTTGCGTGAGGACCAGGTCTCGAGCTAGTGTAAAGTGGAGCCGTTTTATGGCCTTTAGAACCTTTTGGACTGGTCGTTATAATCTTCGGTCACAGAGTTCCAAGTTCGTTGGAGGTTCAGCTTCTGCCCGAAGGATACAAGGATGGGTAATGGTTTTCCCAATGTCTATGATACTACGACGGCTTAACGTTTAGGTTCAGAATCACGTTTATCCTCCGAATAATGATAACAATTTTGCTCGCAGGTTTTGTGCCGTCAAATATAGTTGAGAATCAGCCGCCAATCACAAATAGGCCCGTCACATATTCGCCTGACCCTGTCGATGGCTTTCAAGAAGATGAACCGACGTTGGAGATAGGTCCTGATGAAGACGACATGACTTCGGTGGAGAAGAGGAGATACTTTGAAATTGCTGAGCGAAGTAAGTAGAACTCAGTTTAGTAGTGTTAGAGCGTATGAGTCCGTACGGGTAGCTATCACCTTGCCGATTTGTTGAGCCCATAGACATCAACAATGTAAGTGCCGCCACCCAACTTGGGACATGAATTCTAAGTCTCAATTTTATAGTACAACGGCTGCCCCACCTTTCAAACCGAACCGCATTACTACTTCACGGCAGAAATAGGCAGGGCGGTGGTACCTACCCGTGCGGACTCACAAACTCAACTCAATACACACACACAACTTTCACAATGACAGGGTAAACCGACAGTTTCGTTCCACATACCGACAGACCGACTGACTGACTGCCAGAGACTCACTGACTGAGACGGATGGATCGTCCGATACGGACTGAATGACTGTCTGACACGGAATGCCACGACTCTGTCCACGTACTGCCATTTTATAGTGTGGCGTTACGGAGTCTACCCTACATTTTGTTATATTTATCAAAACAACATTTCATCATTTAAAATAATAGTCAAAACAACGTCTTAATATTACTAAAAGTCGTTAACCACGACATATATATATAAATTTCAGTGTGCGATAAATACAAATCGTTGAACACAAAAAAGATAGTGGCCATCCCGCTGCTTCCGTCGGCGCATGGCGTCGAAGTAAATGTCTCGGATTGTACACCCATCAAAATACCGCTTATCATCGGAGGGCAGGTCGCTACGATCGAGGAGTTCCCGCACATGGCCCTAATAGGATGGAAGAATGCACAGGTTCTATTGTTTTTGGGTTTTCATAGCTCTAGATTACCTTAATGCTGTCACATAACTTAAGACACGAGCAAAAACTTTGTACCCCTTTTTAAGTTAAATATGAAAATAATTATTAAAATATTAAAATTCTTTTTAACAACCTTGCAACCGAGATTCGGAGTCGCGGAGTAGTTTTTCAGAACCTGGCTTTATAACTTCATTAGCTTTATATATACATTGTAATAAATTAATTGTGTACTAACATAGTTTTAATCTTTAACCCCTAAATATTATAACATTGCACATAGCATTATTTGGCTTACCACGATTTTGACAATTTCGAGCGCGGGTAGATTTATTTTTGTTGCTTAGATGAATGAACGAGGGTCCACCCGGTGTTAAATGGTTATCGGCACTCATAGATATCAATAACGTTAATACCGCCACCCATCTTTCGATATCAGTTTATCTATCCAAGGCGAAGCGATGGTACTTATTATCGTGTCTCTCTATGGCTTGATCCGCGCTCTCGCTTGCACGCTTAGGCTCGGGCGGAACGTGACACTTTTTCGTGCGTGCAGCCCGTGTTCATTGATTTACAAGTCGTTATCACGTCATTGAGCACATTCAATACTATCCTGATGTTAGGGGCAGACAAACCGTCTACAATCTTTCTAGATGATTCTCCGGAGTTAGCACTGGAACTGGTGCTTAGTCATTGGCGGGAGGTCATGAAATGTGAAAATCGTGATAAGAGCTTCGATAGATAACTTTGTAAGGGTTGTTTACCAGCATGAATTATTGATCCAGGACTATGGATATTCTTGGAAGTGCGGGGGGTCGCTCATCAGCGACGAATACGTCCTGACTGCCGGTCATTGCACGTACCAGGAAAAGGATTACAGCGTCATCAGGTGATTATGTTCTCCGCATTCATAGAGTCCACTTAGGACCCGATATATTCCACAGAGAGACGGACTTCGACCGGGGATCCGATAGAACGATTGGGGATTATGTTAGTGATTGCGATTTTAGGGGACAAGCAACAATTGATAGTCTTAGTTTCCCGTCGGATCTTCTCAGCGGGCTGCGATTCCGATTCGGTGGTAGATTCAGCGAAGCACTGCTCTTACTGGGGCTAGTGTTAGCAAATGCTCTTAGGTTGATCGCGTGAGCTTACCTACCCGTCCACGCGTAGATGCAATAGCTCTTTAGACTACCAGCCAATAGGTAGGGGAAAACTTATACTCCTACATAATTAGCAAATCGAATTGGCAATTAACCGGTCATCGTTCTCGTCGAGCCCGTCCAAGAGCTCCGCGAGTAAATTAACCCACAGACACAGCTCACTGAGTTTCTCACCGGACCTTCTCAGCAAGTCGCGATTCCGATCCGGTGGTAGATTCTGCGAAGTACTCACTGCTCTTGCTAGGGTTAGTTTTAGCAACGTCGTCAGGTTTGAGCCCCGTGAGCTCACCTACTTTTTAGGGTTACGTTGAAATAGTCTCTCAAGACCATTCGTTTAGGTAGGAATAAAAAAAGGCACTTAATTTCGCCGACTCATTTTTGTATCCCCTTGATAGCGTCAGGATATAAGAGCAAAGACATTTAAGATGATTGTGTCGTCATCACTTCTTCAAGAGCGCGTCCGAATTTTCAAGTGAACCGAACTTATTATTAACTTATTATCAAACACACTAAATTACACATTGCTTTGAAGATTTTAGGTAATTAAAGGGATGTTTAGATACGGTTTTATGTTTGTGTATAGCGGAACACCCCGCGCGGTTCAACTCGGGTCGGCGCGCCGGGACGACCGCCGCGCGTTGATCCTCGGCATCTCCACCGTCATTCGACACCCGAAGTACAAACGGAGGAGGTCCTACTACGACTTGGCTCTTGTTAAGCTGGTCTCCAAAGTGAGGTAAGGCGAATGTACTTCGCGAACAAAACCTTATACATTGCGCGATTTTGAGTGAATCCTTTTGTATTCTAATTGGTGTACGATAAAGCATACTATACTCTATTTTACTTTCTGAATAAAGTATAGTATAAAATAAAAAGTATAGTATAAAGTATAGTATAAAATAAAGCTTAATGTTAACCAGATATGGTTGGATATTGATCCACAATCATAGTGGATCAATAATATCAATATCCAATGTGTAGAGCGTGGACTGTATTTTGTGCTGGTCGCTTCAATAATTATATATATTCAGAGAGAAGGTTATTTTTATTTTATTTTAATATAGTTACAACACGTGCCGTACGACCTGAATTGTTGATTGATTTACAATGACTAGGGTGAAAGGAAGAAAAAAAAAAACAGATGCGACCGAACAAAACTGATAACTGACTGACTTTATCTGATGTGGGAATCGAAGCCACGACCCTCAGCCCGTCAGTCAATGGCGCCACTGGGTCTAAAATTGTCTATCGAATTTGAAAATCCGATCTTGATCCGCAGATTCTCGGACCAGATCAGGCCGGCTTGTCTAGGAGTTCCACCGGCAGAAGGGGAGAGAGTCGTCGTCAGCGGTTGGGGACGAACCGAATTTGGTAATTAGATTAAGAAACCTCAGCTGACCCGCTTCATAACCCATGTCATCAGCCATGAGTCTCCTTCCGCATACTTCCTCAATTGGAGAATGGAAGGTTCACTTGTGGTCAAAGGCTTGGCTGTGCCCCTGACATTACTGAGGTCTACGAGTGACCGTGGCAGCTTACTATCAGATAATTCTCTTGCTCGTCTACCTCGAAGGTCAAGAAAATAGGCCTTTGATAGCAGAACTAATCAATTCTAAACACATCTTTCCGATAAAAATTTCATAGGGTCGATACATTGTGTATTTACCACGGAAGCTGTAAAGTAATCGAAACATCGGACAATGATAATAAATATGACAACAAACGCGAGATTTGAGGGTAAAAGTATTTTAAAGGGTAAAAGTATTTATTTATTTGTCTGTTTGTTTGTTTGTTTATTTATTGTTTGTACAAACCAATCATAATTTGCATCTGTGCTTGAAGTAGGCGATAAAACCTGTATCTCAAGCAGCAGTGCTCCTCGTACAAAAAATATAATAGCTTTACTTCAGACACACAAAAATAGAAAATTAATTAGACAAAAATTAAACTCTTGTTCATGGATAGCATAATATAAATATAAATAAATAAATATAATAAGAAAATATCTATACGAATTAATCTCACTATGATTTTCCTCTTTAAATGTCATGAATACTGCCCCATTACCACTCATAGACGTCCATAGTTTATTGGGGTTGACAAGGTTAAAACGCATCAAACAACTCCAGGATTCCACGATTTTTACCACAACCTCGTAAATGCTCCAGGTGGAGACGCATCCGCGGACCTTCGGAGCGTCTCCGTTGAAATCTGGAATATGCAAGAGTGCAGGGAGACATGGGGCACCTCGTTGAAGCTGCCAAACGGACCCACGCCTGATAGCCACGTCTGCGCTGGTGAGAGGAAAGGGGGCAAGGACACATGTCAGGTAGATTGCATTACGCCAATACTTATGTCGGAGCGTCATAGTGGACAGCTCTGACACTCATCAATAAGACCAAATTGGTACCTAGGAAATTTGATGGAGACATGTTGAAGCAATTAGACCCGTATGGTATATAGACATATTGAAGAAGACAAAACATTTGTTGAAGACAAATTGTGTTAGGCCCATTTTGCTTTTACAGCTACAGATAAGCTAGTCCATGCCTCGCCGATTTCAAATAGATTAAGGCTGTTGACGTGACGTGGATATCGCTACCCAAATAGAGACAAAAACAAAGTTCTAGTATTACACATTACTGCTTCGCGTCAAAAAACATGCGAGAAGGTGGTGCTCACCCGTTTAGGATTACAAAACACCCAATTATTGAAGTTAAAATTCGTTAAATATGCACCACTTACTCCTAATACCATTTCTCTTGTTTATTTTCATCGAAATCTCAATATTCGGTTGATCTACTTACTAACTCGTCATTTTTGGTATTATTACTAACAATGTTCAATAAGAATATGTGTTTACAAGTTTGGATACATTTTTTTAAAGTGAAAACTTCTTTAGCATCGTTGTGATTCGAAAGTCGATGAAACGAAAAAGCGACAGTGAAAAGAGACACACATAAATCCGTAAGATTTAACGTGGGAGAAAATGAGATAGGAAGCATTATACAGTGTTTCTTGTATTCGTGGTTCTCTCTTTGTGCACTGCTTCGTACCTATTATTCGTACTTAATACATTCTGCATAAATCTATGTAATATATACGAATAAAATGTAAAATAACTATCAAGCTTTGTATCACTATTTCGTCCAGAAATTTCATATTCGTCTCATTATCTTAAAGCCAAAAATTTTGAAGGTTTCACTTCTACCACGCGTGAATTTCAAACATTTTTTTTTTCTATCAGGGGGACTCCGGGGGGCCAGCCCAGGTGGAAGACGGCTGCGTGTGGCGCGTCGTGGCTGTCACCTCGATCGGGAGGTCCTGCGCCGCTCCGCAGACTCCAGCGCTATACTCCAGATTACAAATACCGTTTATAATCGCACAAATATTCGGCAACCAGCCGTCGTATAATCAAAACGATCATCAGACGAACCAAAATCACAATAACAATGACAGACAGACAAACCCAGACAGACAGACAAACCCAAATCGCTACGACGATCAGCAGGAAAACCGAAATCGTCCCAACAATCAACACTTTAATAATAATTTCGGTTTTAACAGCAACAACAATTTTAATGGTCAAACAATCGACGATCGGAATCAATATTACAATCAAAATGTCAACAATCAAAACAAGCACACCCATAACAGTAATAATCAAGTTTTATTTAATCAAGATCATTATAATGCTCCGAGTTATGATGCCCAGGATCATTACAGCAGCCAGGATAACCAGTATAACAATCAGTACCAACAGGATGTAAGACGTCCGGAGGTTAGTGATAATCGACAACACATTAACAATGTCTACGGAAAAGGCCCTCCAAGGACTGAGAATTTTAATTTCCAAAATGACAGGATACATGCTGAAGAGAATTATCAAAACAATCAAGGCTCATACGTAACGCAACCACCTGAACACGATCGTCCTATAAACGATTATAACAATCAAAAGACTGATTATAACAATCAATATTCTGATTATAACAATCAAAACGATCGCGACGCTACACGAACATCGGATTACGGAAGTCAAAGCAACAGATATACCGAACAAAGGTCTGATCACAGAAATCAGGAATACGTAAAGGATAATAAGAGATTGAGAGATAGCGATCGACTTGATTATAACAGAGGGTATAGTCGAGAGGATTTTCGGATTGCAAACTGGAATTGATTTGATTACGTATGTTTAATTAGTAGGAGTGTAATGTAGTGCTGCGTTTGCGCTTGTCGCCACCGTACTGACTATATTAACTGGTTTGGGGGAGGGGGGGTTGGTACTGGAAGTCGAAGCAGTTCGGTACCAGCTCGGCGGTTTTATTCGTTTGATGTTTCGCAAGGTGAATGGCCTCTCGAAATTTGACAATGTATTAACCATTGATGGTTCCAAGTACATTGATGCTATGGTTTTTATTTTTATTTGTTGTGAAGTCCGGCACTAATCTTGAAACATATAGCCTCAATAGTAACTGTTGACTACCCTCTGTTTCGCGGTAGAATCAGGCAGTAGGGGTATTTATCCACCCGTGTGGGCTCACAAGAAGCTTACTACCAGTTTTTTTTATTACACGATGTTATTCCTTCACCGTGGAAGTCAATCGTGAACATCTGTTAAGTACGTATTTCATTAGACAAATTGGTACCCGTCTGCGGGATTCGAACACCGGTGCATTGTTACATACGAATGCACCGGACGTCTTATCCTTTAGGTCACGACGACTTCGTATATACCCGACCGTGTACTCTGCGCGTTAGACACTTTTTGGAAGGGTGGTATTCTAGTAACCTCAAGGGGTTATGCTGGATTCGCGGAACGAGTAAGTGAGCTCGTAGGCTCTAACCAGAGGAAATTCGCTTAATGCGCGTCATTTATCTTTGTAATTAAAGGCGCGTTTTATTTGGTATCAGCGTCAACAGTTCGACTTCAATTAAGCTTACTCCATTCAAATAGGCTGAATAAGTTTTTTGTTATGATATTTTATACAAGAACCGAATTTCTCAAGGCAGAGCTGTCGGGACTACAAACTTGAGATATTGGCAGAGGTATTTTCTGTTGTAAACATCCACCGAAGAGGGAAATTGGGAATTTCTGCCCGAAAGGGGGTAAAATAAAAGTACACATGTATCGACGCTTCCTTAGAATTAAATTAAACTTAATTATAATAATATTATTATATTTTACTGATATAAATAGTTTAGTGTATTTGACTGTAGATATTGTCATTGACATTTATGTAGATAAGAATAAATGTTTTTGAAATCTATCTCATTTCATTAATAAATGAATTACCAACATGCTTAGATTTGTATCGGGGTAGAGAGCGATTTGGGCGTGCTTGGTATTGTTATTGTCCATGAGCATCACGATCAAATCTTCATCTACTCACAAATTCAACGTCATAAACATATTAAATTTTTGTTAATATAATATATTCCATTAGTATACAATAGTATAAGCTATATTTTAGCATTTATGTATTTATAATTTAATGTATATTTCAATGCACCTACCATTATTCCCTCTACACTACCTTTGGTTAACTGGTAGAGAATGCCTTAGGCATTAAGTCGATCAATGTAAATAATACATGGCCACAAAAAAATGGCTAAAGAACCCTTTATTTCTGACTTAATTTTATTGATTTGTCCGTTCCAAATGATTCACATGCACTTTTTTAAACATTAATCATCTACTATTTAATTTACTCTGTAATGTTCTTAACAAACTGCTTACTTGTATAAATCAACAATGTAATAAGTCATATATATATTTTTTAAAACACTAAGGTTCGGTATAAAATATACTTACAGTTTACATTTGTATGGCAAAAGGAAAAGAGGCTATCCCAGAATAACTTGGCGTCGCTAAGCAGAGCAGGAGCTAGATGTCTTGGGCGTGACATGGGATGAGGTGGAACAGACTGCCCAAGATCGATGCAGATGGAAGATTTCGATTCGAATCCTACACCCCAGCAGAGGCTAGAGAGGAAAGAAAAAAATGTGAGCCGTCACGGGACGCCTGGCAGATGTGAAACATCGACATTATTTTGTAAAAGTAATATGCAGAAAAGAACAGATTGTGATAGGAACTAAATATGTCATAATGATAAAATAAAATATTACGAAAAATTTTTTTGTTTTCAAGTAAAACACAGGCTATGTGTACTGTAGTAAACAACACTGTATACACTACGGAGTATACACTATAGGTATCCGAGCTCAGTGTAGCGAGAGAGATGGCTTAACGCCGGATCGAGTGGGAGAGAATCGCACAGTGGATTGCGCATGGCGTCGCGTCGCCACACCGTACACACTACTGCATATAGACTGTATATATATACCATCATATAAGGTGGCGACGCCTCACCATGGCATGCGTCGCCACGCCAGAAATCGGTTTTACGTGCGGCTATAGATGTTTCACATCAAAAGAAGAAGAATATATATGTAATGTGTTAAGTGCTTACCAAAGCCCCTAGACATAGCGTTTTTAGTAATAAGTCTAATAGTATATAATAATAGTAATAGGTCTACCTCTTCCTCTATATCCTTCCACATATATAGTTCCTCATCCCCATGGATCATACGGTACAAAATACAGAGAGAAGCGAAGTCCCTCTGCAGACCCAGACGCTCCAAACGATTCGCGAGAATGGGATTATCAAGTCAAAGGGAAGTAGCTGCTATTTGGGAGCCCCGGGTCAGAGGTGGGAGCAGTACTCCACGGGAGGCCCGACTTGTGCTTTATAAGGCAAAAGTCTTTGTCCATGCTTGAAGTACCGCTTCGCTCTGTTGAGAACTCCCAGCATTGGACGCCAACTTGGCATTGCCCTCCAACTGACTCCGAAATTGGATATCGCTCGAAATGTCGACCCCAAGTATTTCGATACCCGTGGAAGATTGCAGGGATACTTCTTGGAATTGCAACACCATGACAACCTTAGTTAGTGGTTAACGTGCAGCGATTCACCGCAGTCACTGACGCGAATAAACATGCGATTATGTTTATTGTTTTAATAACCTCACTTTTTGAAGTGAAACTTCTTTAGAATCGTTGTGATGTGATTTCAAACTTGATGAAACGAAAAAATTAAAGGTGAAGTTAAAATATCAATTCAAAGAGGGCGCTACCTCATACTATAAATTACAATTATTTCTATTTAGTTTGTTATCAACAGATGTCGCTGCACGTAAATTCAACAATTCCTGAATCGCGATGACGTATGTTACACAGTTGATAGAGGTTCTCGTATTTCTCTTGCTAAATCATACTTACCTGGCGTATGAATACCGTGATCATGCAGGCGGTTCCCCCAGAGTGAGGCTGCTCCATTGCACTGCGGAGTGGTTGGTGGTTGACCCTTGCGATTATTCTTATTTTTTATAAGTTTCACTTCTATCGTGTGTGACTTGCACACACACACACACATTTTTGCGTCGCTATTCAAAGAGATACACATTAGCAAAAGTATTCAAGTGGAGACCTCGTATTGGACGTCGTAGCCTGGGCAGATAATCGTCACGTCATATCGGATCCCCTCGATCCACTATCGGTGCTTTTAGGTACTACAAGCACCAGTCAGTATTCTCGACGAACTCGACACTTGCGACGAAGGATTCAGCGAGCAAATTAGCCCTCAGATACAGCCCACTGAGTTTCTCGTCGGATCTTCTCAGTGCAACACAATAATGATTGTGAGCAACACAATAATTTATCTCTAAAGCCAGTTGGCACCATGCATACCAATAAGCAATAAATCAATCTTGAATGCGTTTTAATGCAAATATTTACATTCAAGTAATAAATTATAAATGTATGCGACAGCATGTTGGCTCAAAGCAGTTTTTTTAAAACTAAGCGCGCGCAGCACAAGTGAAACACACTCGTGAATCCGTCCTAAATCCACAAAAATGCAGTGATGATGCCAAATTCCAAGTACTTATTTCAAAATTGGGAAAGGCCCCTATACAACAAGTCACAGATATACTCTGCAGGCCGCCTGATACTGGAAGGTATGAAACTTTAAAAGCACGCTTGTTAGATATTTATGAGGAATCTGAGAATCGTCAGGTGCAGAAACTGATTGGTGAGATGGAGCTCGGCGATCAAAAGCCCTCACAGCTTCTTCGCCGTATGCGTGACCTCGCCAGGGACAAAATACCTGATGACACACTCCGAGTTTTATGGCAAGGCCATCTGCCCGCAGCTGTAAGAACCGTCCTGGCGATTACTGAGACTAAGGACATGGAGAAATTAGCTGCCGCTGCAGACAAGGTAATGGAGACGTTACAGCCGTCGCAGTTATCGGTCGTCGAAGCCAAAGTACCAGCTCAAACGAGTGGTAACAAGGATATATTAACTGAGATAGCAAAGTTGAGCATCCGCATGAGGAACATGGAGCGATTTCAACGTAAGGGTTCACGTCGGGGTCACCAGTGTGAGGTTTATTGGTGTTGTGGGCTTATTATACGTTCTCCTCAGGAAACCTCATCAGAGTGGTCAATAAAACACTAAGTATAAAGTATAAATTATATGTTTATTCGCGCAGCGACCGCGGTGGATCGCTGCCCTTTAACTACTGGCTGTATGCACAATAACTGCATAGTAAGCGAAGCGGGGCGGGGTATCATTCCCCTACACTAAGATTTCAATAGGTTAATCAAGCAAAATAGACGTTTTTTTTGGTACATATCCCATTCGTGTAACGCTTAGGCCCAAAATGGGGTTTCTCCTTTAAAAGTCATCGCGGCCTAGACGTATCGAGCGATGCCAGTCTTCGAATTGATTTTTCTAATGGAATATTTGTTTGAGTTAAGCACGAATTATTTTCAGGACAAAGGATCTACAACGGGCAATAAAAATCAAGCCCGCAAAAATTACAATTTGTTTAATTACTGCGAAATTTGGACTTAGACCTCGAGCCTGAAATTGGCTGGCGACATTCGCTTTGTTATGTCCACTGGCTCCAGCAAAAAAAAACTTTCAACAAAAAAACATTTGACGAGCACAACGTGTCCAAGCATTACTTCTAGAACAAATTCTTTAAGTGCCGCGCCAATGGATATTACCAGATTTACAACGCTTATGTCGATTGGAAAAGCACTAATTTTAACATCCACTACAGGATTGAAGTCATCCACGACTACCTTTTCCAGACCTGCTTCGACTACGGCAGCCCCTTCTGCCTCTAGCCCCGCAGACCCCAGTGCCACAACTGCTGCTCTAACCTCCGCTCCGACCTCTGTACCACTTGTTGCTACAACTCCAGCCCCTAGAGGAGGGGTACAAGAGCTCATCAGACGCGTTGGTGCGAAATGAATACAATGTAGACAGTATCAAGATTTATATGAAATAAATAATGTTTAATACAATTGATGTGTTATGCGTAATTTAAGTGTCATTTATCATTTATTTTATCATTTATTTTATTTTAAGTATCATTTGAGGTAAGAAATTTTAGTAATCATGTTACAGTCAAAGTAAAAAAAAACGATTTTGATAATACCTTGTTTGTAGATTAGGGGTGAGCTGTGCGTCTGGTTGTAGTGCTGAACACGGTAACCCCCTTACCCGACCCGGGTTCTGACCTCAGGGGATCGGACCAGAGTGTAGGGGAGTCGTTTAGTGGGTAGGGCCCTAAATACCATCCTTGGGCTTGCTCTCAACATCTGCGGATCGCCCAATCCCACATACCGGGGACATGGTAATAGTTTCGGCTCCCGACCTAGAAAGAAAAGCAGTTTTCTGCGTAGTTCTATCCCGAAACAGCCAAGTGTCCGGCTTGAACAACTGCTGTCGCTTATAGGATGATAAAATTGTCGTGCCGGTTGATGAAACTCTAAATTGGGCATGGCGGTACGTCACATAAACTGGAGTTCGCTTATGTTCGATTAATGTCTGCTGCTAAACGTAAACAGTCATTTTCTGGATCACCCCTACTTTCCCGTATTGAGTGTGGCAGCGTGTCTCGGTCATGTGCGGAGCTTCTGGTGTCAAAGTCCTTTTGATGAAAATCCAAAATGCAATTACGTTACGATGTCTTTTGGCCATAAAATACATAGGGCATACTTTTTTCCTTACCAATTTGCTAGTAGCTTAAGGGGCTATTGCAGCTACGCACGAATGGGGAGGTGAGCCCATGGGCTCAACCTGAGAGGACCTGCTAGCCCAAGCAAGAGCGGTGCTTCGCAGTCTACCACCGGATCGTAATCGCGACCCACTGAGAAGATCCGATAAGAAACTCAGTGACTTCTTCTTCTATGGGTTAGTTGGTCTCGTTGGTCGATTTCTTATTTGTAATCGACTTATTCGACGAAGATGGTGACCGGTGCTGGAGGGGCCTAAAAGCACCGAGAGTGAACCCGGGGGATCCGATAAGACCTGTTTCGGCTTTGTGTTGCCCCATTGACAAAGCACTAGTCTAATGGTGTCTGAATACGCCTACAGAATCGAATGAGTTCAAATTCTCTCGAGGACTATGTTGAGTTCATATGGACTATGTTGTGTTCATTCCCAATCTTGCAGACCGAATGGTAAACCGTCAACGTCGCCCAAAACACGTCATTCCGATCCACTAACGGTGCTTTTAGATACCCCAAGCACCGGTAAGCGTTCTCGTCGAACCCGTCGTTTGCGACGAAGGGCTTGGCGAGCAAATTAACCCACAGAGACAACCCATTGAGTTTCTCAACGGATCTTCTCAGTGGATCGCGATTCCGATCCGGTGATAGATTCTGCGAAGCACTGCTCTTGCTAGGGTTAGTGTTAGCAATGAAGACAGATTTGAGCCCCGTGAGCTCGCCTAATAGTTTCGTGAATCTAGGATAACCCCTCCAGGTTACTAGAATAGGTAGGAAGAAAAAAAGTTGATCCATCGCTTGGCTCGGATATGACGCGCACGCATTTGCTCCATCATCATCATCATTCTTTACTATAACCCTCTGCTGGGGTTTAGGGCTCGAATAAAATCATTCTATTAACATCAGTCTTGGGCAGTTTGTTCTAGCTCCTCCCACGTTATGCCCAAGACACCTAGCTCCTGCTCCACCGAGCGACGCCAAGTTGTCCTGGGGTGGCCTCTCTTCCTTTTACCAGACACTTTCCAGGTCAGTACTCTCTTTGATAGGCGGGTATCGGGCTTTCTCAATATGTGACCAATCCAATGCCACTTGTACGTACAAAAACCTTTTATGAATTCCTATGTCTTCAATTACAATGTGCGTTTTATAAAAGTAATTAAAATATGTATATGTACGTGTTTTACAATGCAAGCAATAAATGTAATGGACGAATTGTAAATCCTTTAAAGGGTTCAGTTCAAAATATTTTAATTTTTTCAATTTATCACGTAATGTTTTTGTTGTATTTAACTGGGAATAAATATATTTGGGAACAAATCGCGAATGGTCATCTGGCCCCATGTTATTGGTACCAGAGACTGACACACACAGGTGTTTATTATTTATATTTAAATATATAAATAATAAACACCTAGACAAAGAGCACACGAATGTTTGCCCGATGCGGGAATTGAATCCAAGACTGTGGACACAACAGCTAGGGGCCTTAGCTATTGCACCACCAAGTCAGTTAGTCATCATATAATCGGTGACCAATTGACACTGCAGTCTGAACCATGCCTCTTTTGATAATTGCAGTCCGGACTCCCTGGCTTAGTCGATCTATAAAGTTAAAGATACCTCCAAAGCAGATTGTATTGCGGCTGGCAGATGTGGAAAATCGAAACTATTTTGTACATGTAGTACGCATAAAAACTTCAGAGGTGTCAAGGGACACCCGGATGGAACGAAGTTCCTTTCGATTAATTAGTGATGGAATTGTAATTTTTTTTTAAGATATAATAATAAATTACGGCATTATGAAGAAGAAAAAGACAATACTATGAACTAAATTACTATTGTTGAAACGCTATCTCGAGAAACTGTACTCATTACGCGGACCAATCGGATACGAGCAATGTCACGCGATAAGCGCCTACACGTTGATTTGTCAGAATGACGGATCTAAAAAGTGTCGTGACAACTTTTCGTAAGAATTTTTCCGTCTAGCCCCCTTTCACAACGCGCGATAAGGAACTTCGTTCCGAAAATATAGTTTGCGACAGGAAATAAATGGCTTAAGTGGGCCGCGATTTCGATCCGGTGGTTATTTCAGCAAAACAGTGCTCTTGCTAGGGCCAGTTTTAACAAACTGTCTCAGGTTAAGCCTTTGAGCTCACCTACCAATTGATGAGTAGCTGGAATAGTCCTATAAACTACTAGCGTATAGGTAGATAACTAAAAAAAATATACTGATAAATACACACTAGATATTATTATGTACATCTATACTATTATATACCTGACCAAAAAATGTTTCATATCAAAAGACATATCAGAAAGAAGAAGTCAATAGTGATTGTGATATTTTTTAAAGATTCACGGCTTATCGCACATCAAATTCACGATTCGGGAAAAACACTTTTAACTCTGTAACAGCTAATTATTGAAACATATTCTGTAAACAATACGAATAATAACGTATTGTTATGTTAATAATATTATTTAAATATAATAAAATAATTCATAAACGTATGGTGTGCCATTTACAGTGGATTGTAGTTTAAACCGATAAATACGTGTGCAATAAAAGTGAGAGAACATGTCCTTAAAAGCGAAATGTTTGGTAAATATCTTAATTTTTTTTTTAATTTATTTATTAAGGTGTTAAGTGGTTATAGGAGCCCATAGACATCTACGACGTCACTCACCTGGAGATATAAATTTTAAGGTCTCAAGTAAACTTACTGCTTCATGGCAGAAATAGGCAGGGTGGTGGTACCTACCCGCACGGACTCACAAGAGGTCCTACCACCATTTATATATCAACAACATTCAAGCAAAACTTGTTATATCTAATCGAAATTGTCGAATGTCTAAATTATGTCAAGTCTACACTGATAGCAGCGAAACGAATTCAGATCTTATAGCTTTCCTTTAGAATTCATATTCGCATGTATAGTTCATTTGCTTTACGTTTCTAAAAAGCTGATTAGATTAAATATCTATGTAACGGAGTCGTTCAAGGTAATTGAAATTGAGTTATTGGTCATAGAGCGTCTTGTGAGTCCGCACGAGTAGGTACCCACATTCTGCCTATTTCTGCCATGAAGCAGTAATGCTTTTCAGTTTGAAGGGTGAAGCAGTCGTTGTACTGCAAAAACGGAGACCTTAGAACTCATGTCTCAAGATGGTGGCGTTTACGTTGTAGATGTCTATGTCCACTTCGGTGACGTGCTCACTGTGTGCCTTGTCGACACTGGCTCTCTCACACACGTCGCTACACGCGAGCACAGCAGACACACTTCGGTGACGTGCTCACTGTGTGCCTTGTCGACACTGACTCTCTCACACACGTCGCTACACGCGAGCACAGCAGACACACTTCGGTGACGTGCTCACTGTGTGCCTTGTCGACACTGACTCTCTCACACACGTCGCTGCACGCGAGCACAGCAGACACACTTCGGTGACGTGCTCACTGTGTGCCTTGTCGACACTGGCTCTCTCACACACGTCGCTGCACGCGAGCACAGCAGACACACTTCGGTGACGTGCTCACTGTGTGCCTTGTCGACACTGGCTCTCTCACACACGTCGCTACACGCGAGCACAGCAGACACACTTCGGTGACGTGCTCACTGTGTGCCTTGTCGACACTGGCTCTCTCACACACGTCGCTACACGCGAGCACAGCAGACACACTTCGGTGACGTGCTCACTGTGTGCCTTGTCGACACTGGCTCTCTCACACACGTCGCTACACGCGAGCACAGCAGACACACTTCGGTGACGTGCTCACTGTGTGCCTTGTCGACACTGGCTCTCTCACACACGTCGCTACACGCGAGCACAGCAGACACACTTCGGTGACGTGTTCACTGTGTGCCTTGTCGACACTGGCCCTCTCACACACGTCGCTACACGCGAGCACAGCAGACACACTTCGGTAACGTGCTCACTGTGTGCCTTGTCGACACTGGCTCTCTCACACGCGTCGCTACACGCGAGCACAGCAGACACACTTCGGTGACGTGCTCACTGTGTGCCTTGTCGACACTGACTCTCTCGCACACGTCGCTACACGTGAGCACAGCACACACACTTCGGTGTTCACTGTGTGCCTTGTCACGTGTAAATAAAAGTGTAGTTATAAGCTTCGGAATATTTGTTGTTGTTAAGCACCAATTGAATAGAATTTATTTTGCAGATACCTCTCTGTCTTTCGGCGTGTTTTACTGGTACGTATCATTTCATTCTTAAATATAAGATAAAATGGATTTGTTTATTCAATTTAATTTTTTATTGACCCATGAAACTCTTCAGTGACAAGTTGCTATTTTTTTATTATAGCGTCGCTGGGCCAGGCGTTGAGCGGTATGGCTACACCAATTTCAGCGCTTCTTCAGACAGCTCCTACAATCCCTGTTGCGCCCGTTACTACAGTTCCTGCTGCATCCGGCGCCTCACCTTCGACTGCATCTAGTGCTCCAATTACAGCTGCACCAGGTGCCCCAACCGCTGCTGCAGCAGATGCTTCGACCACAGCTGCACCAGGTGCTTCAACCACAGCTGCAACAGGTGTTTCAACTACTGCCGCACCCGGTGCCTCTACCACAGCTGCACCAGGTGCTTCAACCACAGCTGCACCGGGTGCCCCAACCGCTGTTGCACAAGATGCTTCGACCACAGCCGCGCCCGGTTCGTCTACCACAGCTGCACCTGGTGCCTCCACCACAGCTGCACCCGGTGCAATAACCACAGCTGCACCTGCCGCTACAACCACAGCTGCACCAGGTGCCCCAACCGCTGCTGCAGCAGATGCTTCGACCACAGCTGCACCAGGTGCTTCAACCACAGCTGCAACAGGTGTTTCAACTACTGCCGCACCCGATGCCTCTACCACAGCTGCACCAGGTGCTTCAACCACAGCTGCACCGGGTGCCCCAACCGCTGCTGCACAAGATGCTTCGACCACAGCCGCGCCCGGTGCGTCTACCACAGCTGCACCTGGTGCCTCCACCGCAGCCGCACCCGGTGCAATAACCACAGCTGCACCCGGTGCAATAACCACAGCTGCACCCGTTGCCTCAACCACCGCTGCACCCGGTGCCTCAGTTCCTGTGCCCGCCGTTGCACGCCCCACTGCAGCCCGGGTTCCCCCTTTAAGAGGACTAATGCAAGGATTTGTGAACAACATTATGGTGTGAAATAAACACATTGTGAAGAAACAATATTATGATTTAATGACAGGATTAAAAGGAAAACCAAATAAAGTCTAAATCCAATTCTGCTCTGGCACCTGTAATTTAGGGATAGTAACTTTCAAAGCATTTATGTTACAGTCTAAGTGAAAAACGTATTAAGAGTAATATGAGTTTTACTGGTGGTAGGACTTCTAGTGAGTCCGCACGGGTAGGTACCACCACCCCGCCTATTTCTGCCGTGAAGCAGTAATACGTTTCGGTTTGAAGGGTGGGGCAGCCGTTGTAACTATACTAAGATCTTAGAACTTATATCTGCAGGTGGGTGCCGCATTTACGTTGTAGATGTCTATGGGCTCCAGTAACCACTTAACACCAGGCGGGCTGTGAGCTCGTCCACCCATATAAGCAATAAATTAAAAAACCGCATTTACATTAAGCGATATTATTCTGACAGTTTCTGATGCGCTTGTCTGCATTTCAGTCTGATTATAGATTACAATTTTCCCACAAGACAACTCTTTTTCAAATCGAGTGGCAGATCTCACCCTCATATCTGAGGTTGTATATACTTTGAAATTCGTTACATTGAATAATAAAACTGTCGCAAAAATTTTGTTGTCCGTCCAATTTTTTATTAACTGTTTCTTTTTCCTATGCTCATTCTCCTGCCCTTCTGACAGTCACCTGGGGTCGGCGCAACATTATTTCTCCTTCCATACTCCTCTATCACGTCTTCCTCCTCTTATCTTACACAAATCGTCTTTCACGCAATCCATACATTTCTTCTTAAGTCTACCTCTTCCTATATAGTCTTCCACATTCATAGTTAACACTCCCTTATCTTCACAATAAAGTACCTCATTGAGAATGTAACACAAATATTTTACGGCCGTCACAAAAATACGGTCAAAACTTACAATATTCATACAAAATTATTTGCATCTTAAAAGCAATTTGTTAATAGAGTAGCAAATGAAGACAAAAAAATCGGTTGTCTGTAAAGTCGGTTTACTGACGATAGTTGAACGTGACAACGTCATAAGAAAATACTGATGGAATGGTTTCATTTTTCAATTATCGCAATTATCGTTGCTATAAACAATTGACACCACATTCACTTTTCACTGAACTTCTTATTTGACGAAAACATGTAAATGTATTATTGTATAGCAGCTGTCCACGCGGATGCATCGCTTACTCAAGTAGGAGAGAGACAGATGTCGAACGCTGCCGAACGCGGAGGCCGATTGTGCCTCTTTGTCGCTCGTTGCGCGCTCTCGCTTGCACTTCAAGCCTTACATCGAACGCCTCAGAGCGAGGTAACGCCGCATGAGTCATGGTTTTTCGTGCGTGGAGCCGGCTCCATCGAATTATAAGACGTTATCACGTCAAAAAATTTATTTATTGCAATTTTAACGCCATGTAAAACTAAACTTGACTATGATGAAACATGAGTTTCTCGCCGGATCTGATCATCTTATTTCATCGGATTCTATAATATCGTTTTTACCATCGCACGGGTTGTGGCCACCAGAGTAGAGTTGATCCATACTGCCTTCATCTAGTTCGTTTCCAGAGAGTCTGCCATATACCATACGGTTTTGAAACGAGCACCCCTCTACGCTGCTTCTCGAGCGCGATGACATGTCCTTCTTTATAGCAGATAGCGGCTGGTATTGATGGCGTCCAACCATTCACCATCACATGGAAGGTAGGTTAGTCGGCCAACAAGGGAAAAGATAAATAAAAAAACTTGAGTGGGTCGCACGGCTCTTGCCACCAAATATAAAAAAAACTCTCTTACACTAAGTCTGTGAGCTTGCCTACAAGTCAGAGCGTAGCTGTAATAGCGCGTTAGGCTACCAGCAAATATGAGTGTTAAAAAAACGTCAGGAACACATTCTCACAGAGACTAGCAAATAAAAATTGGTTATACTTCAATTGAGGCTTCGAAATACTCCAGAATGGCTTTGCATTACATTGCTTTAAAATTCTTCATAATATAATATTATATATATAGATATTATAAATTTTATAATAATATAAAATTCATAATATATAAAATATTCATAATTTATTATCATCCATTCTGTGCATCGAATATACACATAATAATAAATCGAATGCAAAGTTTCAGAGCAAAACAGAAAACGCACAAGTCTGATATATTATCTATTCCTCCTTTGAATTGATTGTAATTTTTTTTATTGTTAATTAAATATTTCAACCTTGTTAGAGGTTGTGTTTTATGCAAGCCTATTTGTATGCACAGCTGTTGGCAGGTATATTTATACGAACAAAGAAAAGCTAAACAAACAGTTTTAATAAATAAAGAGAAACTTCTTGTCTCACATGTGCATTATAGATTAATTTTTATTTTACTTTCAATTTACGAACCGACTCGCGGTCTGGACCAGTAGGCGGAAGCCGGTGGCTCTCTGACTCTCCGAATACGATTCTTCCGCGTAATGCTTAGTCCAGACACGAAATATTACTCATTGCCTTGCCTTGCAAGAGACGAGGTAATCATATTTGTATGTATAGGCACGTATATATAATACAAAAACAAGCAGCCATACTTATATACACACATGCACAATAATAAGTATAGTTTTGGGTAATACAGTCTTCATAAATTCAAGGGAATCCGAACCTCCTCTTCCCTGAAGGTTTCAGGGCGGGAGCTAGGAACTAAACCGAGTCAAGAACTCGCGAGAAAACATAATAATAATAATAGTAATAATAATAAGAAAACCGTCTACAACAACAGACGTGTCAAAATTTGCAAAATTCAATTTTATTTAATTTTACCTAAATTTTTACAAATATTTATAGAAAAAAATACAAACAATTAATTTTAAAAATGATAAAAACAAAAAGAAAAAGTGAAAAATGAAATAAAGACTTTAAAGAAAACTGCAATGTGACACGTCCATGAGTTCTCTGAGTATATAGAGATTTTATCTATTTGAATACGAAGATACTAAAAATATATTGATATTCAAACAAGCTGAAAAGCTATTGCTAAGCTAAATTTGGAAAGAATATCATAACAACAAAAAAAACTTATTCAGCTATTTGAATTGGCTAAACTTAATTGTAGTTCAATTAGAAACATCGAACTGTTGATGCTGATACTAAATAAAACGCGCCTTTAATTACAAAAAAGGTACGTCGTTTATTGAGCGAAATGTCGCTTAAAACTTAAATAGTCTTCCACTCCTCGATATGAATGATTCTTGTGAATGCTGCTCACCACTAGCTTAGGCCTGACAGTGTCAATTACTGTCAATGACGGCGCACATCTAGAGACATATAAGCACATGGTACATAAGATCCTATGATTCGAAAAAAACACCAAATCATTTATTTATTATTTATTTCCTTATACACTAACGTCATAGGTATCATATAACTATTTTGTTTACAATAATAATATGTAGACGCGTAACTACATAGTATAATAATATAATAATATACTGCCTAGTAATAAATACAATCTTTGAAAAGATAGAATTATCAACGTAACATTGTTTTTAAATTAATAACAACCGAGGTACGAAGGATTTGAGTTTTAATTTTGACGAATAAAATTTTTTAGCTACCACATTCTTCAAGAGCATAACGAATTTTTTTTCTCCCTCGCACCTCGTACAACGAACAAAGAAAGCAACAAACAAAAAAACATAACGTAACATAGTCAAAGACTTACTTTTAAATACTTAAAATTCTATGTTTTCTTCTTTTTTTTTTATAATTCTAAATTTCCACTAAATTGTTTCGTAATAATAAATAATAAATAAATAAAAACGGGTTTTCCGAATAATAAATTATGAATAAAATATAATATGAAGACACATACTATAAACGAAGATAATATAAAAAAATCATATATTATAAATACAGATAGTTGTATGTACATTTATGTAGTCAGACTAGGATGAAAAAAACGGGATAAGGTATTTCTTCACTTCGGTACACGCGTTTTATTTGACGCGATTAAAACTAATTTTACGGTTTAATTTCGCTTTTTTTTTTACTTTCATTAAATTATTTCCGACGCTTCGAGATTCCCACAGATTTCGTGGCCACAGGCGACTCATAGACATTTGAAGGTTCTATTAGCACAAAATCGAACGAAACGCCGGAAATTCTACTAATGTTATTTAAAATGCGAGATTAAACCGTAAATTTACTTTTAATTACCTAAACGATTTTAGATTAAAAATCAGTGACGCGTTCTTTTAATTAAAATTAGTTTTACGGTTTAATCTCGCGCGTTTGAAATTCTTTAAAGTTCTGGTCTTTAAAGTTTGTTTCGTAACATAACATTGAATTTGAATGGGGCTGAGACGCGCTTAGAAGATTTTTTCGCTTCGAACTAATCAATACAACACAACATTATGGACGGTAGAAAATATAAATATAATATTCGTAAGAATGAAAAAAGATTCAATACGTTTTTTTTTTCTAGATCAAGACCTAGGGTTGGATCGCGTAAATTTAAAATCGATTTGCATTGATGAATTTGATTATAATCTTAGCAACACTTCGAAAGTGAAGCCTTCAGATGACGTGTTATGAATCGTGAAACTTACTTAGCTTGAGTTAAACTTAACCGACTTAAAGATCAACTTGTCAAAAGTAGAGGATTCTATGCCTGATTCTAGTTCGAAAGGCTTGTATTGAAATACGTAAATTTAATTGAAAAGAGTCGTATTAAAATCAAGAAATTTCGTTTTTATGGTTTCTTTTTATTGCCCGTGTAGGCAGACGAGCATACGGCCCACCTGATGGTGAGTGGTTACCGTCGCCCACGGACTTCAGCAATGCCAGGGGCAGAGCCAAGTCGCTGCCTACAGTTAAGTACTCTTCAAAAGCCTCGTTAGAAGAAGGATATGTCATAGCGCTCAGGAAACACCGTGGAGGGGAGCTCATTCCAAAGTGGGATGGTACGTGACAAAAAAGATCTCTGGAAGCGCACTGGATGAACGCAGTGGTTCCAGGTAGTATGGATGAACTCTACTCCGGCGGCGGGTGGTGCGATGGTAAAAACGAGATGACGGTATCATCTTAATCAATTC